CCCTACGTAGAACAAAAGAATCCCTCGCTTCTAATTGGTCGCGCTCCTAGACCCTAAATTCCGCCGCCTTCAAAGGTATTCCCTACTTCTAAAAAAACCTAACTTACGATATTAATATTGGTTGTTAACCCCCCCCCTCCCGCCCCGCCCCCTATCCGCTACAACCCCTCCTAGCCTCCGCCTACTACTCTGCCTACTACTCTACCTGCTACTCTGCCTACTGCTCTGCCTACTATACCGCCTACTGCTGCTATCGTTATAGCGCCGTTACTCGTAGCGCGCCGTAAGCTTTTAATCGCTAGAAAGGTACTACGAACATCTGGAAAGAGACTCCCTAGCGTAATAGGTAGGAAAGGGCTTCTATCCGTAGGTATAAAGAAAAATCAAAAAAAGAGAGGTAGTAAGTATACCTAGTTAGTAGACGTAGTCGGTATATATAGTCGGTATATACTAACATTTCTTTTAGAGGGAGCTTTATAGGAGATCAAAAAATGCTAGACGGAGGTTATAAACTATATCCTAAAGCTCGCGTTCGTACGTATCGTTAGGGATACTATTATCCTTTTTACCGAAGACTACCTCCCTATACGGATCTAAGCGAGCGTACTCGGTATCCTCTAGGAACAGTACGAGAGTATAGTAACGAAAGTCTTTTCGTTAGCTAATCTTCTCGCTATCTACTATAAGCGAGTTATAGTAATAGCGAAAGATCTCGAATGTCTTTGTAGGCTGCTAAAGGAGTAGAATATCTAGCTAGACAATTACGTAATTGCTCCCTATAGCTCTGGCCTAGTTAACCCGAGTACGATATATAAGCCTCGATTAAAGACGAAGAAGACGAAATCGAAGCTAACTCTAAAGAAGCCGACTGCGAAGAAGAGAAAGAAGACTCCTGCGTCCTTAAGCGAAGACGAGAGCTTAGATAATCCCGATAACCCTAGCGCTTAAACGGGTACTTAAACCGGTACTAGTAGCTAGACAGACGCTAACAATCAAGATCCTCCTAGCACTAATTAGGATAATAGCGATACCGGTAGCTAGATAGACGGGAACAATCAAGATCCTCCTAGCACCGATTAGGATAATAGCGACACCGGTAGCTAGACAGACGGGAACAATTAAGATCCTCCTAGCACCGATTAGGATAATACAGATACTAGTAGCTAGATAGACGGAAACGATTAAGATCCTCCTAGCGCCGATTAGGATAATACAGATACTAGTAGTTAGATAGACGGGAACGATCAAGATCCTCCTAGCGCCGATTAGGATAATAGGGGTTTAAACGATTCAGACGGTAAGAAGCAGGCGACTATCGTAATTTCGAGCGGTAATAAGAGCTCGGAATACGATCTAGATACTAATCCTAGCGTTCAAACTAGTTATCCTCTAGCTAATAAGGAGAATGCTTAGGACGATAATACAGTACCCCTAACGACAGAGGATAAATATCTCTAGGCTCTCCTCGATTATGTTAATGCCTAAGAAGAAGAAGACGAGGAGATAGCTTCCGAGAATTTAGATTTTCCTTTTAGGTAACTAGGTATACCGCTTAGTCAAGCAGATTTTCAGTATAGCGACGAGGATATAGGTACCTAGGATCAAGATATCTCGCTTAGCTAAGACTACAATCCTTTCGATTATCTAGATTTAGAGGAGACGGGTCCTGATTCTCTCTAGGAGAGTCGACTAGATATAGAGAGAGAGGATAAAGAAGAGGAGTCGTAGTAGGAGTTTAACGAGGAGATAACAGAATTAGAGGATATAGCAAGGGTAGCGTATACGGTAGCTATAGATTAAGCGAATAATCGGGGTACGTAAGAATTCGTAGCTAGGGGAAGTATCAATAAGATACTAAGTATACTTATAGAAGAGCCTATTACCGAACGAGACAGACTAGAGATAGAAATTTCAGCTCGCTTTATCCTTAGAGCTACTTGTTTAAGGACCCTATTATTAATAAGGACGGAGCCGGCTTTCTAAGCGGCCTAGCGAAGAATAGAGATGCGTAAGGCCTAGAGAGTAAGGCAGCAGTATATAGTAACCGAAAGTCGGTTTAAACACTAGATACGCGTTCTAGCTAGGCTAGAGAAGGAGATATTGAAGTATTTACTATAAGCCTAAGATCTGAAGTAATTTGGTTTTTCTAATTTTCGTAGTCGGTAGGTATAGTCGGCAGGTATTATTAGCTATAGAAGGAGATGTCGAAGTACTTACTATAAACTCCTGAATTAATTTGCTTTTTCCTAATTCTCGTAGTCGGCAGGCATAGTCGGCAGCTATTGTTAGCGAGTTTAGGCAGTATAGTATATACGAGGCTTATTACTGTTCTAGAAGCGCTTACTATATTTATTCTATATCTAGAAGAGGTTTTACGTAATACCTATCGCAATACCTATTAGGTATACCTATTGGGTTTTTTCCGTTAGGTTGTACCTAGCTTATAAGCTAGGTACCTACCTTATTTGCGGGGTTGGGTATTAACGTTAGGTTGTACCTAACCTATACCTAACCTAACCTATAACGAGGCCTACCAATAAGGACGTTAAAGTTAACGGGTAGCCTATATTCCTTACAGAGTCTAGGGTAGTAGATAGCGATATATATGTTCGGCTTCTTTATGTCTTTTAAGTACTGCTTAGCCTTCTTAGACACCTCCGACTTCCTGCCGCCTACCGACGGATTAGGATCGTTATCGTCGCCTGCTCCTATAGCCGAATGTCTAGTCGTCGATATTAGGGTCGTAGGACGAGATATAGTAGGTATAGTAGTTCTCGACCGCCGACGTCCGTCGAGGGCTATAGATTAGGACAGGGCCGAGAGGAGTTGCTACAGGTTGGTATAGTAGCCGTAGACGATTAGGTAGATATCTTCTCGGTCTGCTTTGCTTACCGAAGTGCTTATTAAGACTAAATTGCTCCGAGCGGCTACTGTAAATTAGCTTACGATATAGCTAACAGTACTATCTGCAGCTATACTATTTGCGTCTAGAGTATAAATAAGGTACGGGCGAATATGCTTTAGTCGTAACTAGTACCGAAGTAGGATTAGAACGACAATTAACTACCTCGTATATTCAGACAGGCTATAACTTTTGAGATAGTAGAGAGGGCCTTAGACCGGAGGCTATCCGGGTAGGAATAGGAATATACGTAGGACGCTAGTATATTCATCGTATGCTTTAGGTATCAGAATGCCTATAAAGAATCAGGAAGTTAGTATTAGCTTGTTACTATAGTTATACCTCGTACTCTACTAGGTATACTATTAAGGAGAAGTTGATATATTATCGACGTTAGGCCCTAGTACTCAGAATAAGCTAGATTACCTAGTCTGGTCTAAATAATATCAAGAGCTAGTACAATAGAAGTCAAGGCTATTATAGTAGGATCCGGATCTATTCCCTACTCGGTACCGTATGCCTTACGAGCAGCCTTAGTTAATAAGTTGACTATATCCTTACGCATCTCTATTACTATATAGTAATAGCGACCCTTAAGGAAGACGTCGTAGTCTAGTAGACCTCGGAAATCCGCGTAGATATAGTATATCCGGCAGCTTAGGTTCGCTCGCTATGTCTTTATCCTAGAGTTCTTCTGTTGCTATAGCATATTACCGAGGAAGGCTATAGTAAAGGCAACTAGTAGTACCTTACCTACTCTAGGAATATAAACCTCAATACCGCGGTCGAGTATTGCTAGAAGCTTTATAGCCTCTACGATATCTGCAAAGTTAGATCTATATAGACCTAGTATAAGAGGGAAGACATTTGCTCGACGATCGCGCTTACGAGTACTAAGTGCTACAATAATAAAGTAAATGCCTATTAGGGATCTGTATAAGTTGCGATAGAGGCCGAAAGCGTTAATAAAGGTTAGAAGAGGTAGCGACATTATTGTTTGTCTACGCCTCGAATCTAGTAACTCTATATAGGTACGGCCGAATGTCTGGATTTCAAGCTCGCTACGAATAGGATAGTTAAGACAGAGCGGAGTAACTATCGTATTCGAGGTATCCGTAAAGTCGATAATCCGACGGAGGAGAAGGCTCTCTATAAATAACGGCTCTAGTCGGTTTGCTAGCTTGTTATTCCCGAAGACATAATCTAATACAATACCAAAGCGGTGTCTAATATAAGACTTACGGCAGAAGAAGACATTGTTCTATAATAGAACGACCTCGTACTCTAGAAGAGCCGGCTAGAATCGTTCGCCTAGTAGCTCCTACGGGTAGAAGAGTTCTTAGACTTGAATAACGACTTAGCTACGTATATACGTCGGTGCAATACTACGGAAGTCTCGCCTAATACCTATTACTCTACTAATATGCGCAAATGACGACGGCGTACAACCTTTCCGGTATCGCCTAGTACAGGTAAAGCTTACGAAGTCGGATAGTAGAATAGGCGGACCCTACTAGTAGTACGCGAATTCACTAGATATTGTCCGGATTGATAATCGCTATATATACGTCTTATAGAGCTCGTCCTATAGATGCGTATCGTAAAACTCCCCTAGACCTATATATATTACGCCCCGGATGTCTAAGCCTATAATCGTTATAAAGAGGCTTACCGGGTTAAATATAATAAGAAGCTCTTAGTCCTTCTATCTTAACTGCTTCTCGGCTTTAAGAGGGATTATCTTAGACCGTATTCTTAATAGAGGTAGGCGGGACTTTGCCTGTTTCTTTAGAGTTGAAATACATAATAGGAGGTTGTCTAGCTTATTATAGATATTGCCTATAGGAATCCGAAGAAGTTCAAGCAAGCTCTTATATTATGTCCGAGAAATTGCTGCCTCTTTATACTAAAGCCTAAGCGTAGTAGCGAATCGAGACGGATGTAGCTTAGTCGACCTCCGATACGGTATAACTAGAGATAGATCGTTATTATTATACGAATCTTCGGGAGGATCCTCTGCCGTCTCTTCTTACTCTCTAAACAGCTGCGTCGGAATAGCTATAAGCTCTAGATCTACCTCGACTAGCGCCTTATTATAAAGGCTAGCCTATTAGAACTCTTCGGGATTAGGTACAACTTCGTTGTTATTATTTATATAGAGCGTCTCGAGGGTAGGAGGTTCGACTTCGGCGTTAGTCGGTTCGCCTATATAATCTAAGAGCTCTAGGTAATCTGGATTATACTCTCTACTATCGTCCGCTCCGTATATAAAGTTATCCTCGCCTCCTATTCTAACGGCCTTACTAACGGCCTTACCAATATTATTACTAACAGCCTTACTAATAGTATTACTAACAGCATTGTTATTATTAAGTAGTCGTCCGGACCGATCTCGTCTAACGCGGATAGTAGGTATACTAATCGGGACTCGGCGATAGCTTATCGTAGGCAGCGTATAATAGCGATCTTAGTACTAGATTGTCGCAGTTCGGGTACGTAAAGGACAATACCTAAGGTAAAGCTAATATATAGTTAACGATAGGAACGCTGTAGTCGATATAGCAGGTACCTTAGGCAGGCGCGCGGAAAGACCCTAAATGTAGGGCGATCCGCTAGGTTACCAAAACTTCTAGGCTAAGCCGACGGCAAACATATATATACAATACCTTAAGCAAACCGGCCTTCGCCGATACAAAACTCTGTACCTCGCCTACAGATTTTGTCTTCTCTACCTATACCTAGGTCTATTAACGAGAACACCTATTATACTACCTAAGGGCGATACTATCCGCGGCGCTTGCGGCGGGCGCAACAGAGGTATAGGTAGAGACTCCTCGAAGAGCGTACGCAGACGCAACACTCGTATATCCGACGTCGAGCAGTCTTAGACTCTAACTTAAACCGTATCTCGCGCTCGCGGCGCTCGCGGCGCTAGTAGCAGTTCTCGCGTACTTCCTACTATTACGCGCGGTAGCGCTAGACGTAGTTATTTCCTAGGCTAAGGTAGCGCTCCGTCTACGCAAGATAATAACGAGTTTGGTAACTAGCAATAGTACGACGATCTTCTACAACAGACATAGCCTAATTAGGGAGAGCTTAGTTAAGAGCAGCTCGGTTAAGAGTAGCAGGATACCTATAGTTAAGAAGGGTTCGGTTAGCAGGCGCAGTTTGGTTATTACTAAGATGTATTCGGCTAGGACGTGTTTAGTTAGTAGTAAGAGGAGCAGTACCTAGATCCTAGTCGTATAAGTAGCTACTAGTATTAGCCGGCTATCGATCTAAGCCTCGATCTAAGCCTTAATCCAAGCCTCGATCTAAGCCTCGATCTAAGCCCTGTCGTATATACTAAGCGTACTCTTCCGAGATTGCAGTATCTTTAGGCACGTACTTAGCAGACCTAGACTCCTACGCGCCCTCCTTATTCTTAGTCGTAATTAGCTAGAGGTCTCTAAGGCAGTAGTAGCGGTTCAATACGCTAGAGGCTACAGACCTAGTCTAGTAGTACAAACCTATTAGGTCGCTCTGCCGGTAGCGGCTACTAGTCTTATTAGGCGCTTTAACGTTAGCGCCCGACGAATCCTAGTAGTACCTAACGAATTCAGTTAGGCAGCGGCCTCTACTAGTCGTATTCGTTATCTAGTCTTTAGAGCGAGGGTATCGTTAGCCTAAACGATTTTATTATTACTAAGGCCAAGCGTCAAGAGCTCCGTAAGTTAATAGAGGATAGCAAAACCTTAACTCGCAAGAGCTAGATAAAGGCTACGAAGGCTATCTCTCGTACTCTACTTAGCCTAGAGGAGAAGAAGGACTATAACGCCAAACTCGACCGTATTATCCGTTAGAATATACTCCTAATCTACGTCAACCTTAACCTTCAAGATGTTATAGCCTTCGTCTTTAGCGAACGTATAGAGACGGATAGTAGCGACTACGAATAGGCCCGCAACAAAATACTAGAAAACTGTCGCTCTTATAAGTTAAAGGTATACGCCTAGTTCAAGTCTTTCGTTAAGGCTATAACTACCTAGGACCCTACTCTTCTCGAACTCAGCGACAACGGCTTTACTACTAAGGTCGGTAAAGCCTTTATAGCTACTAACTACTTCTACTGTTTCTTCTTTATAAAGAACTACTTAAACGTTAAAGGTAGCTCTAGCCTTAGCAAGTAGTTTCTAAAGTTTATCTTCGTTAATATAGCAGTTCGTATTCGTAAGTAGCAGTAAATCAAAGATGCCCGTAAGTAGGTTAGGGATTGGAATAAAGTTCTCGACTTCTTCGATAAGGTTGCTCTTCTACTAGTATACGATAATGTCGATATTACAGACTTCTAGCAGCTTACGTAGAAGTTCCGTAACGCTAAGGAGAGTAAGAAGCGTAGCTTGTATATATTCCTGTTCTTATACCTAGTATGCTTCGCCTAAGTTAAATACTAACCTTACCTAGTATTTGCAGTGCTTTAACTATATAGAACTACATCGCTATAGGCCTACTACCGAAGAAGCAAGCTCTAGTCTCGTTATCCGACGTACGTACCGGCGCGGACGTAGAGGAGATTAACGAAGACATTATAGAAGAGATTGACGGCGAAGGCGGCGAGAATAAGTAGGAGCTATAGGGTATAGGCAGCTAGTATTATCGTAGCCGACGTACTTTGCATAAAGACACCCCGCCTAACTTCGGCCTAGACGGCGCCTTCGACGATCGTAAAGCTACGCTAACTCCTCTTGTCGCTTACTCTACTCGATCTATACGCTTTGCTACTAGCGCAGATCTGCGCAAGTTTAATATTACCTATTTCGTCGCCCTAATACAATATAAGGATAACGACGAGGACGCCGAGTACGAAGAGGGGCTTAGGTTCGAGGACAACGATACTACTACTATCGGCAACTCGTTCGCTTCTAGCGCAACGTAGTAAGATAAGCGAATAGATACCTTACCTAGTAGGTAACCTAGAAGGTTAGGTACCTAGTAGGTAGGTAACCTGCGGTAAGGTACCTTAGAGAGGCTTAGACAACTAGAAAGGCGGGCGGGTAGGCATTAACGAGGCGTTATATATAGGAGGTAAGGTAGGAATAAGTCTACTTTACCTACGAGAAATGAAACTGTTGCTTCTAGGCATCGTCTCTATGTTCTATTCTTAACGTAATGTATGCCTAAGGTAGTACCTTACCTAGTATACCTAATACCTAATATAGCGACGCGGTATAGTAATATAGTATAGTATAGTAATACAGTGTAGTATAGTAATATAGTGTAGTATAGTAAACCGTATCAGACGCAAAGAAGCGTGTCAACACTATATTAGACAACCCGCACCGTATTAGCGCTATATTAGAAGCTAGTACTATATTAATATAGAACTTCTTACAATACGTACTATTACGCAGTACGTATAGAGCTATACACTACGTCGACACTACGGTATTATTGATACGGTAGCTATATACAGATAATCCCGATATGTGTGATATTGCATATGTTTCTATATTTTGGTACGTGTCTGCGGATCTACGCGTGTGGCTACACTAATTTTTAGACACACTATGTGAACACGCTAATCGACCTTCTGCGGCCTCCGGTAAGGTACCTCAATATCAAAGTCGCACAGGAAGCACATGGAAGTCTGGTCTATGCCTACTAATACATCGTTGCATTCCGTCAACCAGCTTGTCGACCACAACGTCGAAACCCATTTACTCCCCATCCTATGCATCACCCGTACCCAACGCCAGATTCATGCTCAAAAGCTGCTCTCTTCATCGGTCCCTAAAACCTCTTGATAGTAATCTTTCTCGCAAACCTCAACTTCTTCCTCCTTTTCTGCATAACTCCCGTAACTCCCGTATCTCCCGACTCACTCGAACCGGGACTCGTCGTCCTGGAACTCTTTGGCGAAATGGATCCCTCGGTCAAAGCCGGCAGATGCTCCACTTCACAGCCCGAAGCAACACTCATAGCGACGTTCGTCACAGCAGTCACCGTGAGCGTAGCACTCGTAACCAGAAGTGAAGATCTCCTCAATGGCTGTCCTTCCGCAGCCAGAGACCTCTCCGTCAACGCAGCTTTGATGCACGTCTGGTTGAGAAATCGTGACATTTCCCACATACTGTTGCGATCCGTAGGTACAGCATGTGTACCTGCATGTTTGACCACGACGGGGTTCTCGCAACGTTTGATCATCTCGCCGGACATTTGTTCGGAAACCATGTGATCCCATTCCGCGATGAGATGCATGGTGGGAGTTTGGACTTGGGGCGTGAAGAATCCATCGTAGAATTGGGGTGCGTTGACGAAGCCTGAGCAGGCGATTGCGAACTTGAAAGGGGATTGGGGTGGTGGAATCAGGAGAGGTAGACCTTGATTGGCTAATGCCATGACACGTTCGGGTCGGACGCTGCCTTCGCAGAGTGATGCGAGCATCATGGCGATGGAGGCTCCCTGGGAGAAGCCGACGATGCCGTCGAATGGTCCGTGCTCTCGGATGTATTTGGTGAGGTAGTCTAGACTGCTGTACAATTGATCGAGGCGGATGGTGAATTCCAGACGTGTCCACCAGGCTCTCATTTCCAGGATGTCGGATTGTGGGGAGTCGGTCGTGAGCTCAATAGGGGCGTCTGGGAACATCCACTCCATGCCATCTGAATAGTCTGCTTGAAGATCGGAGTCGAGGTTGCGTTCCAGGTATTGTGTGATGCGCTTCATCTTCGTACGAAAGAACTCGCCGCTCTGCCCGAAGCCTGGGGAGCATCATTAGCTGTGACTGGAATTGTAGTTGGGTACAAGTGATTTACCATGTAAGCACAGCACTCGCATCTTCCTGTCTCGTCGAGACATGGGAGCTTCCTTCTCGAACTGGACTTCCAAATTTGATTCGAATGTGTCTGCGCCCGCTATCTGTGCGGCGAGGTCGAATGTTGGGGCATCGAAGCCCGTTGCCTCATAGTTGGTGAGCATGATGTTGGTAATACTTTCAAGGCACGTCCGGCTGCGAGGCTTCTCGATAGTGAGATACAGTGAGTCCAAGGCACAGAACCAGTCTCCAGTGTCCGCGGCAGCATCAGGACTAACATATACTTCATCAGTGCCAAGTCATTTTTGCTAGGAGGTATTTTGTCTGATGATAGAAATCGAGATCGCGCGCCGAAGATGCATTACGATCTGGACTCGATAGTGCGGCGCCTAGTTCGGGCTGATAATTGCCCATAGAGGCATGTGAGAGGTTTCACACAGCCAGCCCTTGGCAGGGCCATCCTTCAGCATTGCCGTGTCGTTCCTGGTAGGTGTTATTCGCGTCGATTGACGAAAATGACATAGTGCGAGAGCGAGACTTGCGGCTTGTCTTGTGTACGGTAGTATGGTGAGCATACACTTCGGGGCCGACCGTGAGACACGATCATGGTTCAAGCCATCCATACCTTGAGATTTCACGCTTAGCGCGGGAGGGCAGTGGCAGCGCAACCTCTTGGGCGACAGAGGGGCGGAACATTCTTCGAGCACTCGGAACACCATATGTCAACCGCTACCCCAATAATTGTCTCAAAACAAGCATTGACACACAGCTGCGAAGCCACTGTATTAGCTCTATGAGATTTGTGAGAAATAGTACAAACCGAGGCGAGAGTACTATTCGAATTGATTGCTCCTGTTTATTGCCAGGCATGTGCAGCGTGGCATCCTCCTCCGGCAGCGAGCATTTAGCTTTGGTGTACCTGAGATCAGAGCTGAGACACGGGGCCAAAAAAGACGAGAGGAGTTTTTGTCTTGAAAAGTCGAGATCGACGGCAGGCGCTCCGACTGAGGTCTCGTATCAGCAGATGTGCCATAGATCGTAGCCCTCGGTACTCTCAGCAGCACAGAGAAGAGGACTTCTCCACGTCCACGTGACGGCCTGGAAACTACTGTGATGGAAGTGACATTTCAATGTCTTGCGAAGATCAAGGTCAAAACGAGTGTACTGCCTGGATTCGATCCGTTGATAGGGTGCTGATCGGGTGTTGAAATCGGGTACCTCTACCACCTAGGTAACTCATCCTTCACATCTGGTGTGCCTGGAACGAATACTGGACAGAGTGAGACGTGTGGCGTCACGACCAGTCCATACATGTAGGGCAATCGAGGGCTCTACCGACTGACGCTGAGCTCCGCATCGTTGCCGACAAACGTCTTGGTTCTTCCGTATCTCGTGGCTGGGTGTCAGCTTTCGAGATGTACGCCTACAACCTCCATCATCACGAACAGCCGCTCATTAGCTGAAGCCCGAAGGTGTATACTTTGTAGTGCAAGCAGAATTTTTGAATATTGCGCACACCCGCAGACGCAAGAAGTCATTGTAGAAGCACTGGTTTGAGCTGCCGGTAGGTATTGCAGGGGCGTGCCCCTACAGTGATCCAGAGCTCAGGTTGTCAATGGTGGTCTTGATGTTCATTGCCATATTGAAGTGGGCCTGTCACATGGTGGCGTTGCAACTGAATCCTTCGAAGCCACGCATAGAACTTCTCCGCCACGAGACGCGAGCATCATGGCGGAGGAGGCTCGATATTGTTTCCTTGGCGGAGGAGGCTCGATATCGTTTCCTTGGCGTAGTCTGGAAGCGAGACGTCGAGAGGATTCCGAGGGAGTAGGAGGTAAGGTGGTGAGTGTGAAGGGTATGGAGATGGGAGAAAGAGAGAGCCAAGACTTTCCGTCGGGTCGGGAGGTTCGGGAACGGCACAAAAATGGCACGTGCCAATGGCGCTAAAGTCGCGTGTCCACGAGCACGTCGCGAACCACGCCACGTTGGAGAGGGGCCTCGCGAAGCCTTCGAAGGTACCTTAGACAGGATTTGGAAGGAAGAACATGTCAGCGCAATGTCGGTGGAAGGCAAGGAGAACCAGAGCAATGCTTTATCGCTGCGAGCGGAGCTCAAAGAGTGGGAGAACACGTTCAAGCAGGCCCATGGGCGTAAAGCGGGACGCGACGACATCAAAAAGAACGCGGACATTAGTGCAAAGTACAAGCTGTACAACGACTTGACGAGAGCGCCGAAGAAGCAGGCAGCGCTCACCACGACACCGCGAAAGAACAGTACGCGACCGCCTGCTGCCCCCATCCAGGAATTTCAGAGCAAGCAGGCCACTCCACGCCGACGAACACCGCTGCGACACAAGCCTTCACTTCTCCAGCCATCCGACCTCCTCTCGCCGCTGCCTGAAGTGGAAGAGGAGCCCACGCCGCAATGGGTCAGAGCGGCACTGGGACCGACCCCACAGCGAGATGGGCACGTGCTGGGTCTGTTCGACGGCGACGATGACGATGATGGTGTGCAAGAGACGCCGCTCAAGAGTGGGAAGGATCTTGCTGGAGGACAATTCATAGCCGGCACGCCAAGCAAAGGCACTGGCTCTGCGGAGCACGTCCATATGAAGTCGCCAGAGTCTTCCAACAGCAAGCGATTCATGTTTGCCGCCTTTGTAGGCACCCCAATGAAGCGGAAGCGGGACAACAACGACATCGGGACTACGAGCTCTTCGAAGCGAAAATATGCGACTCCTTCGTTCTTACGAAGATGTAATCCGATGGCCAGGATTGACGAAGATGACGATACCGTGCAAGAGCCCGTGTCAAGAGCACCCTTCCAGAGGCGAGGTCTAGTAAGGAGCTTGAGTACCATCATTCGGAACTTGAAGAAACAGGAAGAAAAGAAGATGGACGACGAGTGGGATATCATGGACGAGCTTGAGGCCGAAGAACGTGGCGAGACTGTGCAGAAGACGAGGGGCACCCCGGAAGTGCAAGTTGAGGACAGCCAAGCTGTAGAGATGCCTCTGGGGCCTGACCAGGGTTCCGAATCGAGTGACGAGAACAGCGCTCCTGAACCGGGAATGCCCGCACGGAAACCATGGAAGAAGAAGGGACTCAAGCGGCAAACGAGACGTACCAACATGCGGCCGGTATTGCACAAAGCTCGAAAGGAAGGAGATGAAGTGCCAGCGGAGAGCGAAGACGAGGCGGAGAAAGTCATCGAGACGCAACTTCAAAACGAGCCAGCCCAAGATGGTGATGGTTTGGCTGAGGGTGCAGACGACGGATCTGATGCTGATCAAGATGTCAAAAAGAGCAGTACGTCGAAAACGAAACTGACCAAGAAGAAAGTTCCATCCAAGGAAACAGACCAAGGAGATGGGAAGAAGAAACCTCGAAAGGTCAACGCAGAAGCACATACAAATTACAGGCGACTGAACATCAAAAACAAGAATTCAAAGGCCAAAGGCAGAGGCCGGTTCGGGAAGAGATAGATACCAAGTAATGTCATTATGAACTTGCGAGTTAAGCGACATCCATGCTTTTATGAACTGTGAAGAACATAATCGGGCATATACCTTCCCCTCATGCATCGAAGCAAAGTCCGAACATCCATACTCGACCCCTTTACGGCGCACGTGATGTTGCCACTATCATCGAACACATGCATACCTAGTCCATTATGAAGACGATGGCCCTTGCTGACTTCCCTCTTTCGTCTAAACCTCGTCCTCCATAGCAATCACCATACAACATTCCATGGGGTGATACATATTCCGAGGCAAGCCTAAGGCAGGTTGCATATCATCAATTAAGACGTTTGGAGCCGTTGTGGCCGTCATCTCCCACATATCGACCACGATCCTTCCAGGATACTCCTCAAGTCCATACATTTTCTCATCTATGCGTACGCCGGAAGTGGACTGGAGTGGTATTTTACACGTGTAAACCATGGCATCAGGTTGCGATGCTGCTGGAGAAGAATAGAGTGAATTGATATCTTTCATGCGACAATTCGCAAAACCAAACAAGACCCAAATTCTGCTCTCAACGGCCCGCTACAACATTTCTTTCGTGCTGCAGACGGAGAAGCATAGCCATGGGTCATCATCATACGCTGCAGAAGGTGCTTTCTATCCTGGCGAGAAGGGGGTAGAATCTGCATATCAATCAGTACCTCCAATGTAAATCCCTTTTCCTCGTCACATTCATTCCTCGCCTACTGCTAGAAGGGCCTCATTACTCTACTACTGTGCCAGCCAGCCCACCGCACCTCCACAACAAGCATTACCTTTCATCCAAACACAGCAACCAAGAGGTACAGAATGCGCCGCCGCCACCCATTCCCAACACATCTCTCCGTGATGGTGTATCCACTACCACTACTCCTCCTCCAAACCTCCTTCGCAACAATAACAACAATACCTCAGCCAGCCTCCCACCCCCCTCTCAACCACCCTCCAAACCCAACTCTCCTCCTCACCAAAACCAACATCAAAACCAACCAAAAACAATCTCCCACAGCAATCTCCAAAAGCCACTCCAAAGTCCTCAAAAGTCCTTTAATAATCACTACAACAACTCTTCTCCTATGTCTCTTTCTCGGCTTAATGACATATTCCATTTGGCGTATGCTGCGACGTATACTACGAGACAAGGCTAGACGAGAACGACGAAGACGACGACGAATACTTGATGGGTATGATGATGATGATGAGGGGCAATGTCAGCCGCTTTTGAGGAGGATGAATTCTCCTTTGGTTGTTGTTACGGATCATGATGTTGAGGAGCAGAGGTATCATGGGATGTTGTGAGTGAGTGAGTGATTGAGGGGGGAGGATATCTAGGTGGAAGGGTTCGGGGGGATGGATGGATGGGGATGCTGGGCGGAGGAGGAAGAGTCTTGTTATTATGGCTGGCGGTTCTGGAGGGATAGGATGTGAAGGGAAATGAAGCTCGCCTAACCTCTTGTACTTTCCACAGATGTCTGGACCCCGGGACCTTTCGATCAAATATCGATTCTAAGGCGTACTATCTTGGCAGTCCCCCCAGGTTCCCAAGGCACCGAAATGCGAAGTGTCCGAAAGTGTCTCAGAAACTGGGTGTCAGTCGACAAAGATCACCATATCTCTCTCCCACAAGCAAGCCAAGCATGCATAGGTACACAAAGCGTCACTTAAGACTACCTTCACTCCACTCAACAACAAACCCCCATCTCCAACGCTTCACACTCATCAATACCATTCCCTCTCCTCCCACAACCCTCCATCCTCCTCCACTCCACACCAACAATACAACCCACCATCCACTCACCAAAATGTCCCTCCCTCAACCACCACCTCAACCACCGCCATCCCTCTCCTCCCTCCCCGAAGAACTCTCCGCCCTCATCATCCAGGCCCTCCCCTTCCAGGCCCTCGCAGCACTAAGCCAAACCAACCGAAAATTCCACCGACTGTGTGATTGGAAACTGGATGATTGGAAACTGGATGATCGGAAACTGGAATGGTTCAATAGAATTATGAACTCGACACTCTCTGATCCATGGATTTTTTTCGAGAAGGTGCTTGAATCCGTGGAAGATGTATTTTCGTTTTGTAAAGAGGAAAAGGGGAAAGAGAGGGGGAAGAGCGATGAGCGGGTTGAGTGAAGTTGAGTGTTTGGGAGGGGATGAAAATGGTTTGTTGGGTAATTGCTGGGTCAGGACGTGTTAGTTGTGGTGCCTTTGGCTCCGTTCCTAGATATGTTGCATCTTGTTGGAAAGATGGTTGACCCGTTATGGATGCCTGATTATGAGACGCCGCAGGGGAGGAATCATGCTGTGCAAGTGTGAGAATGCCTCGATGATCTAAGATATGTCGTCTCATCATCATCATCATCATCACCATTGTGTCTACTCAGATCTTGTGCCGTGCTGTTCCTTGTATACCTCTCCTCCAAACCCTTACTGTCATGTCCCCCATCTGTCAACGCCATATCTTCTGCACCTTCGACTCTTCCCAAAAGTACCTAGGAACGCCCAAGGCTCTATCTCAAATCACGCAGTAGATACAGGCCAAAGCCAAGAGTCGCAGAGGACTCAGTAGCCCGACCCATGCTTCGACTATCATTGTAACCGCCCACCCACCATTGTGTCTTTCCACTCGCTAGCCGCCATTTCCCTCGCTTATCTCTTCTCCTCCACAGGTGAGTAGCAGCAAGACATCGCCTTTTCGCGAGATTACTGCCAAAGATGCGCGACACCCCTGAGCTGTTGAAGAATGCCTGTCTGGCGAAAAATTGGCCAGACAGATTCAAGGCAAGGCAGTTTCGACTCCGCTGACTCTTTTTGTGTACGAAGTTCCCATGCGCTACATAGCCGTTGAGACTGCTGTATTCAACCGACGTGGTGGCTGGCGAAGGTTTGTGATGGCTCCCTTCGTCGGTGTGCTCGTTTCATTTCGTCTCGCTCCTCGTTGTAGACAGAGTGCTGGCAGGGCATTTCGATTTTGCTGGTGATATTACGTGGGGCGTCCGTAGTCGTTGTCGTCGTCGGCGGGCCCTGTGAAGTGTGTTCGTCTCGACGCTTCCCGATCTGCCTTCGGATACAGCGAGAAGGGTGTCTGCCTGCTTCTCAGGCTCGGGGCCAATTGAGTCCCCGTGTACTGCTCGGAGTATAAGCATCCCAAACTGTCGCTGACTCTCCTTTTCTGGGGGTACCTTTTCCCTGTTGCCCATCAGTTCAGCGGCTGCAGATGATCTGCCTTCAAATTCAGAGGGCGTGAAAGGTCACCAAACACCGCAAAGAACTTGTTTCGAAGCCATGTTTTGCTACTGAACGGGAGCATATCATGTAGGCTTGGCTAGCTGCTACTATTGTGTATCATCCTACCGTCCCTTTGTGCGTAAGGCCATGGTGTCTCTACGTTGCGGAGTGTGCAGGCTTCGCTCTACATCCTACCAGCTCGGTTCTAGGCATGCGTTCCATGTGTCAACGATCGAATGCAATGCTGCGCTGATGGGCGTTCTCCCGCACATTCCACGATCCCACGGCCCTGTTGCAGGTGAGAGAGGCTGTTTCTCTGTCTGCAAAGTCGACCTTTGGTCGTAAGTCATTCGTCTGTTCTAATCCGTCCATCCACGGCTTCGCCGACTCCGCAGCCTCGCCATCACAAAATAACCAAGTCCATTCCAAACGCCAAAATCCCCACCGCCGCCACCATCACCATAGAATATTCGATGGCATCTTGGTGCAGGTCTACCAATTGCGGTCTTTACGACGGGACCAAAAGGTAAAAGGCCGATCCTGGAGTTCGAGCCCGTGGTTTTCAAGGAGAGATGCTAAAGAAGAGCCACTCAAAGAGCCACTTACATGTGCACCCTGGCATTGAACGGAGCGACGTCAATTGCACGAGTCAAATGCAATCAATCGTCTCTGCTAGAAATGTGTATTTCCTCGTCCGTAGTAGCCTTAGGCGCATTGCCGCTGTTCGACACAGCAAAAAAAGGGCATCTATCTCGAAAACTGTCAAAAAGTGCAAAAAACCAGTTATACTGGGGAAAATCCTCTCACGACAAGGCAGCTGTTAACTGCATCGTTCATTGAGTCTTTTCATTAGACACCTTCACGAATGGTATTAGCGAAACAACCAATGGAGGGGACGCACCTTGTAGAAAGAATGCTACACAGTGATGTTAGCGAAACACCACACCCCTCGGGTCCCCCGAGACTCCCACTCCACCACCGAGGGGTGTGGATGTTAGTCAGCGTAATTTGGTCTCTTAAATACCTTCATTTGCAGCCTTTGCCTCCCATCGCAGCAACTTGCGACAACGCCAACATCACAGTTAGATTCTCATACGAGCTTGCTCAGAAAGTGCATGCCATCTTCCTCGTACCCATATTGTGTGCATTCGTGTTGTGGTTGTGTTGTATGTGTCGTCGAGGGTTGGCTGGTATGGCGGGCCACGTCCGAGCTCGGCTTCAAGCAAGAAATCCTGCCTTACCTTGTACGGCTTCTCATTTTCGCTCCCAGGCACGACAGCAGCGACGGCGAGCTACACGGACTTATGGAAATGGCTCAGTTTCCGTTCCATCAGGAAAGAGAAGAGACTGCCAAGATGACTTGGATCTGCTACAAGTGCGACCGCGGCAACAACTTGGCGAATTGCACTTGCACCTGCGATGACTTGATCTTTCTGGAATACAACAGCAGTAATAGATTGCTGATATCACCACAGGTCACAACAAACTCATTTGCCTCCGAGTTCTTCTTCTACGGCCCCAGGTGCGGCGGCGATCGAAGGGCAGCAGCGCAACGAAGCGAAGCACCACACCGGCGACAACGCGCAGCGCAGCGCTACGACGCCTTAACCCAATGTCATGAATGTAAAGGCAGACGCAGCGAATGAGGTGGAGGTCCTGAACGCCAGCCTGCTCAGCAGTTCGGCGGGCAGACGAGTGTGAGCGGCGGGTCGACAAGGATGCCAGGAACATTGGCCTTCCCAGAAAGCCATCACCTCAGTTTGCAGCATCGGGGGTCAGACAAAGCAAGCAGTGGCTAGCAATCACTGTCGATGGCGGTGCTTGTAGCCATGACACTCGCAACAAGTCGACCTGTTCCTTGCAGAGCTGAGGCCGCCACCTTCTTCATCGTTCTGGGAAGCACAGAAGATTGGACCAGCCCAACAACAGTGACACGGCCGGGAATCTTCCATTGTTCTGGCCGGAACAGCAATATCATGAAGATCAAGAAGGGAAATCCCATTGAGATCATCCATCCGTCCTGCCCGGGAGAGCAAAGCAATGTCGTCGAGATCGCCAACGTGTGTGTACGAGGAGCACATCCGCCGAACAGGGCGTGCGAAGGCTTTTCAGAAGATGCAGCTATGTGTTCGCTCAAGCTGCCTGTATCAAAGACCGAGCTGGCTGTGAAATCTTCTCGGAGCGCACAGCTACGATATGTCGTGCAAGTACACTCGCCCGTCTCCACCCGTGAGTGGACATGCTGTCAGGCTTGTGAAAGTATGATATGTGAAGTCGTGCAGAGTATGCAGGGCGAGTGACCACGATCCAGACAGTTCTCGGAAAGCTCACAGCATATCGTGAAATCAATGAACAGCTTTCTCCATAGTGACATCGATGTTGCCAGCAGATACTGCAGGAGGACCATCACAGGACTCGTATCATGCCAACATGTACACAATAGCAAGTGCTGCCACATGGAGAGGTGTGGAATGTACTCCTCGCTGGCCTTTACGTCTTATCTTGACGACATCAAGATACCAGAACAAGAGCAATGCCGACCAGGGAGGCGAGCGCAAGTCTATGCAGCGAAAGCACACATGCAGCCTTCCGGCCCCCATCCTCAGTACTCCCAGGCCAACAAGCATCTCCGGTCAGGTATCGTCTTGGACGGACATGTGCAGCCGTCTGAGCCTCTGTCCAGAGAGATGTGTGCCTCCTCCGGATGTGAGCTCACCAGCTCTGCTCAGTTGGCAGAACAGCGGCAGAGCAGCGTAAAAATTCAGTTCTCATGTAGACCAATGTGGTATGCAGGTAGGTTGCAACATTACCATCTCCTCTTCTTCGTCTCATCTCATCCCATTTGAGTTAAGGTTATTGACTGCCTCGACAGTTGCAAACGTGGTCTTGATTGCAACGCCCTGGTCCCAATTCCCCTGCGATCAGCAGACGCTTTCCAGCGCACGTATGCTGATCTGGGCATACACAGTGAGATTGCTTTCGTGAAAGCACTGGCAAGCTTTTGATCTCGTCACTCGTGGGTTCGAGGCTGTGGGAGAGCCAATCGTGCGCCTCGTCTTGCTTGCGGCGCCTCAGTCGTTGCGGGTATCGTGACCGTCGCGGCTTTCCATCGCGACCAGGCGCGCCCTCTCCAGCGCTGACATCGCTCGCAGGAAGGGGCTCATGGCTGTTCACACATGTCGCTCGCAGGCTTGAATATGTAAGCGCTCGAATGCTGACAGAGTATCAGTGGCGTGTCCAGATCGCATCGCACTATGTTGCCGGCGCATGTCCTGACTGTTGGACAGCCTGCGTACATGTCGTCGCGTCGACGCAGTCACGTCTGTTCGCGAACGACTGGTACCGGCGGGTCCTCGCTGGCCTTGCAATACGATGCGCTCGTTCGCTGCGCTACACAGCGCACACTATGCTCGTTGTTGATGTGTACCGCCAGAGGGCAGTCGTGCATGAAAGGAGCTCGAGGAGATGGAGTATTCGAAACTGCTCTTCAGACTCGAGCCGCCGAGTGGCGCTTCATGGTGTGCGAGCGCTCGGTTTGCGGTTCGAAATACAGAGATGTCGGTCGTGTCTCGTGCGCAGTCTGACCAAGCGCAGTCTGACCAAGGGGGACGGTGTTGTCAAGAGCGCCGAAGCTCTATACTTCCTCGCCGTCACTCTTTTGTCCTGATGCCATGCGGATTGAGTAGTTGGCACAGGCTTTCGATCATTGTTCTCTAGTCGTAAGGTAGGAGGTAGGTAGTCGGGGTAGGAGGTAAGGTAGATACTGAGTTCTAGTCTAGTGACGGGTGGAGTCGGCTGTGCGTCGCCGTAGCAGATGCGCCTTGGCGTTGGTAGTCCTCGACGGTGAACTGCCCGCCGTCGAGACGTGAGGAAAACCAATTCTGACAGTACTTTGACACCAAGCAAGCGTGTAAGGTATTGGCACAACTACGACGGTCACTGCGCCACCGAGCAGCATCGCGCTTGACGGCATCATCGACCGGATCACTACTGACGCCGCTGGCAGTTGCAGCTCCTCCTACCTTAGGAGGTACCTTGCTGCTTCAAACCCTCCCGTCACCACTCATGCACCCGCCTTCGCTCTCACCTCTGCGCCGGACCTCGCTGTCGCAGCTCCACGACTCACCTAGATGGTCAAGATCGCAATTGGAGGCATGCAGGGGAAGGAATGGCGGAGTTGGATGAAGCTGAGTGCCAATGCTGAGGCGTTGCGAGAGGACGAGGGGCTTGGACTTGTCCCATTTGGCCGAAGGAGCCATCACAGGCACGACCGCGAGAGGGGCGGCACGAGGCTGTGATGGCTGCCTCGCGATACTACAATTTGGAAGACGACGACCACGTGGAGCCTACAGTAGAATACCGTGCCTCAGCTCTCCTCCAGGCATCAGTGACCCGATATGCCTCCGGTGATCCTAAATAGAACTCATCACGGGCATTACAGTTCTTTTCGCCATCCCCGCTCGGTGGTTCTATGTGCCTCTTTCGTCAAATGGGTACACAGCGATTGCTCGTGGCGATGAATGCCACCGCCTCACTTGCTTCATCATTCGATATGAGTTGCTCTGCTCTTTCTATTCCCCAGGTACCCTGGCCGATCGACCAGCTCAAGCGCAAACCCCGCAATCGAATGGCGCCTATGCAGGGTATATTTGTTTTCAATTGTATGAGCTCCAAGCTGGTCTGATGGTCTCGAGTATTCAACGTGTAGCGGATGAAGGGAAGTGCTATAGCAGTCGTAAGCCCAATTGAAAAGATCACAACGCCGCATGTCCTGGACGACTCTGTTGCTCGCAGTTTCACATTAAGCACTCAAGATTTCATCTTCACAAACATACAATGGGCGACCCAGGAGTTGACTCTCAGAATCCAGAGCGAGTCATCAAGACCGATCTGTGGCAGTATGGCCGCCGTCGACGTGACGACGGTCCGTATGCAGATGGGCTTGATATCGATGTGCTCATCATCGGCGCTGGCTTTGGTGGAGCAATGAGCTTGATTGAGTCGAGGAAGAACGGGTTCAACACTGTGCTGTACGATGCTGGGCAAGGCTTTGGAGGTACCTGGCGATGGGTAGGTCTTCATACATGGCCCGTCAAGGAAGTGCCACTCCAGCTGACTCGAATCAGAATGTCTATCCGGGCGCGAGAGTGGATAGCCCAGTGCCGATCTACGAGCTCTCGATCCCCGAGGTGTACAAGGACTGGTATTGGACCACGAACTACCCAGACTGGAAAGAGTTGCAAAACTACTTTGACCACATGGACAAGGTACTCAATCTGAGCAAAGACTGCGCTTTTGAGACTGTTGTCGTCTCCGCAGAGTTCGATACCAACGAAGCAAAGTGGACGGTGAAGACCCAAGACGGGCGTGTTACCAAGGCCCGTAATCTCATCGTGGCTGCGGGATTCGCTGCGAAGCGATGTAAGTGCAGTGTAAAGAAAGCGTCCGGGGGCAGGCTGATGAGATGTACAGATATTCCCGATGTGCCAGGCCTCGACACCTTCAAGGGTGAGATTCACCACAGCTCATTCTGGCCAGCCGAGGGCGTTGACTACAAGGGCAAGAAGGTGGCGGTCATTGGGACAGGAGCATCCGGAGTCCAGATGATACAGGAAATGGGACCAGAAGCAGAGCAGCTCACCGTCTACCAGCGCACACCGAACCTTGCTCTGCCTATGGGTAAACGTGATTTGAGCAAGGAAGAGCAAGATGGACTCAAGCAAGACTACCCGTACATCCACGCCTACCGAGAAAGGTGCTTTGCTGGCTTCCATTATGACCTCTGTGAACGTGAGTTATACGAATTCCGCTTTACTCCCATCATCATTGACTGACTGTCTTGCTTTGCTTCTAATCAGGCAATACCTTCGAGGATGACGAACAGGAGCGCGAAGAGTTCTTGGAAAGTTTGTGGGCCAGGAAGGGCTTTGCCCTCTGGCTTGGAGGCTACAAGGACTACCTGGCCGATGACAAAGCCAACGACGTGGCCTACAACTTCTGGCGTAAGAAGCAGTCTTCCCGCGTCACGAACCCGGAGAAGAAGAAGCTCCTCTTTCCTGAACAGAAGCCGCACCCGTTCGGTGTCAAACGTCCATGTCTCGAACAGAACTTCTACGAAGTCCTCGACAGAGACAACGTCAGCATTGTGAACATCAACGAACAAAACGGCACACCTATCGAGCGGTTCACGGAGAAGGGCATCGTCGCCAACGGCAAAGAAGTCGAGTTCGACATCATCGCCCTAGCCACAGGTTTCGACGTCGTGACAGGAGGCATGACGTCCATGGGACTCAAGTCCATCCACGGAACCTACCTCAGCGACGAATGGAAAGATGGCGCAAACACTTTCCTCGGAACCACGATTTCCGGCTACCCTAACCTCTTTCACTTGTACGGACCTCATGGACCTACACTCTTGTCGAATGGTCCCTCGAGTGTGGAAATCCAGGCTCGGTGGATCCGAGATGCCATTAAGAAGATCAAGAAGCAGAATCTGAAATATGTGAATCCGACAAAGGAGGCGAGTGATATGTGGAAGCAGAGGATCCAGGACATTGCCAATGGGACGCTGTTTCCCACGACGCGAAGTACGTACATGGGCGGCACTGTGCCGGGGAAGAAGTTTGAGATGACTTGTTATGCTGGTGGGGTGGATGCTTATGGGCCGGAGATTCGAAAGTACCTCACTAATTGGGAGGGATTTGAGGTTGTCAAGGCTTAACGAGCAATAAGGTGGATGTTTGGATATGTTGGTTGTTTGATCGAGTTGTCCTGCGATTGCTTGTATACCTTTATGTATTAGGTACTGTATGTCTAGTCGGGAGAAATATCCTGGTTGTTCCATGCCAAGGACACTGTGGTTTATTTCTCTTCATCTCATCTTCTGTATTCTCTCTCACGAGATCTCGTCATCAACAGACATAGTCCATACATATTCCTGATTATACAAAAGCGTCCATATCGTTATAGGTGTCGGTAGTCAGCGACACCAGTGCTGGAGCACCCCACTATAGTAAAACTATAGTAGTTCTAGCCTCTCCAACAAGCCGAGGCAAGTGTCGAGCATGATGCTGCATAAGGAAGTCTACCACTTACTACTATACTCACGAGTGCAGCATCATCAACACCATTATTCGCCTAAGAGAGGAACAAGAGCATCATCCCAGCCTACCTAGGTTCAGACTCCATTTCATACGCCAGCCGTGAATCGCGAACCACTCTCCTCACCATGTCAGACCAAGATGCATCAAAGGATCCATCACAAAAGGCCAGAGAACGAGCCAGCCAAGTCTCCGAACATCTATCATCATCATCATCATCACAAAGTAACGATATATCACAAGCCAACACCAGCCGCCGTCGTCGCCGCAAAGGCAAAAAGGAAGATGAGCTACCAGCAGACTACAGCGACATTCTGGGCCACCTCTCCAAACTGCGTGAACTAGCCGACACCCCCAATCCCTCTCGCAGAGGCTACGTTCGCCAAAAGCAAGACGGCAAACTGTGGGTTCGAGAAAGAATCCATGCTCTCCTCGACAAAGACTCTTTTGAAGAAATCGGCTACGCAACCGGCCACGTCAAATGGAAATCTCTAGGCGGTGAACGCGAAGAACCGGAATCTTTCACACCTCATAATAATGTCCAAGGTTATGGCAAATTGAACGGAAGGAGAATCGTCTTTACCGCTGATGACTTCTCCATTCGAGCTGGTCATCAAGATGGACATCTCATGGCCAAAACTCTGCATACGGAGAAACTGGCTTTGCAATTCAAGTTGCCCATGATTAAATTGACTGATGGGAGTAGTGGAGGTGGCAGTGTGACGAGCATCCAGAAGATGGGCTTCTCATATATTCCTCCCATGCAAGGTTTTGATCTTGTGCAGAAGCAACTCAATATGGGAATCCCGAACTTGGGAGCTGTCCTTGGGCCTGCGATTGGGCTGGGTGCTGCGAGGGTGGTGAGTTGCCATTTCAGTGTGATGGCTGGTGATGTTGGCTCTCTGTTCAATGCTGGGCCTTCAGTGGTCAAGAATGCTACGTTTGAGGAAGGGCTGAGTTTCACGGATTTGGGCGGCCCACAGATGCATTGTACAAACGGGACAATTGACAACTTGGCCGCGACTGAGGAGGAATGCTTTGAGCAGATCAGGACTGTTTTGGGGTATTTGCCAAATTGTGGGATACAGCTACCGCCTGTGGTGGAGTGTTCGGATCCTGTCGAGCGGGAGAATGTCGAGTTGCGGAGTGTGGTGCCGAGGAAGAGGGAGAGGATGTACGACCCAAGAAAGGTCATCGCCACTGTAGTCGATGCTGGCTCTTGGTTCGAGATTGGTTCTCTATGGGGAAAGACCGCAATCATTGGACTCGCCAGGCTGGGAGGGCGTCCTGTAGGTATCTTCTCCAACAATCCGGAGGTGCTGGCCGGAGCACTCGATGCCGCGGGAAGTCAGAAGATCATCCGCCATCTCAAGTTCTGCGATGTGTTTAACCTGCCTCTGCTCCAGTTCGTGGACGCTCCTGGGTATGCTGTGGGCACAGTTGCTGAGCGCACAGCAACCATGAGATGGGGCGTCGAGCTGACCAAAGCATACTACACCACGACCATGCCCATCTTTAGCGTTATCGTGCGCAAGACGTACGGTGTTGCTGGAGGTGTCATCGTTGACTGCCGTGATCCGCACAATCGTGTCGCCTGGCCGAGTGGTGAATGGGGCTCATTGCCGTTGGATGGTGGTATAGAAGTTGGTCATAGCCACGAGTTGCGGCAGATCGAGAAGGAGAAGGGAGTCGAGGCGAGGAACTCGCGGTATCAGGAGCTGGAGACAAACTATAGAAGACTGATGAATCCTGTGCGGACTGCGAACCACTTCGGAATTGAGGAGATCATTGATCCTGCGAGGACGAGAAAGGTCGTGGCCGATTGGCTGCAGCTGGTATATGAGACGGAGTTGCCGGAAAGAGTCCTGCAGAGAGTGTGTGGGAAGCTCCAGCCATTGTACGCCTGAACAGCAGAGGCATGGTAGTGATCGGTCTCTTGCTGGTATTACTATCACTCGCGAAGTCATCTGTGGTGTGCGCGTGCATGTGATTGCGTGGAGGAGTGTGCTTCCAGGCAACAGTGGTCACTCATTCACTCGCTAGCGCCAAGCCTTGCGCGAGAGGTGTGGGCACCAAGTTTTCCAATCTTCTTTCAACAACTCCCTCTGCAAGACACACTCTTCGCGGGCAAGACCAAAACACCGAAAGCTGTGGGACCGCAAGAGTATCTGCGAGACAGAAGAAATCGACGAGCATCTACCAAAACTGCGGCGCAAGCAGCCATGCCTATTACAAGGGCTGGCACCGCGGCGACTGTCGACAAAACAGAAAATCTGCAGGCTCGCGCGCACCCAAATGACCTGGAATCAAATCCAGGTCGAGGACGACAGCGAGGACGAGGCCGAGTGCGTGGCGGAAACAAAGGCAGAGGCGGAGGTGGCACCAAGCGCCAGAATTCTCCATCTCCTGTGCAGCCAGCACAGAAGAGACAGTGCAAGGACAACGCGCCAGCCATGGTGCCTGGAGTGCACAAATCCAGCGACGACGGAGGTCTCGCTCTTGGAGGTAAGATTTCCAATTGCGTCAACAAACAGCGTATTCAAGACTTAGCATTCGAAGTCCACTCAACGACTGCGCTAACGAATCACCAATCAACAGGCCATGAAGCCCAGGCTGGCAAGCAGGAGAACGCGGCAGTCCCGAACAGTGGAGGAAGTGACCAGCGGTCCGAAGGCTCGGAGTTGGTCATGCTGCCGCTCAAATCCACCGCTGCGCAACGAGCAAAGGCGCTGAAAAATGCGCAAGATAGGCACACAGCTCGTCAAGCCATCGTCAACTGCGCGAGAAACCTCCCTGCCATTTTCGAAGAAGACAACGAGGACGGTGGCATCGAAGTCAACGGCGGTGGAAATAGCATCCACGAGTCCGAGCGCGGAGATGTGAGGCCAGCGCAGCAAAACCAAGACGACGCGCTTCTCTCGGTGGCGTCAGATTCCCAGAAGGAAAAGCAAGAGCCCTCTCCATCAGTTGGCCGAACTGCGAAATGGGTTCATTCAGGTCTCCAGAGAACAAGAGCTTCGATCGAAGCTGAGATGAGCCGCATTCGAGCTACGAGCACCTTCATCATGGAGCAGGAAAAGAAGTTGGATGAGCTTACTGCCCAGTTGGAGGATCTTGGGACTCTTGTCGTTGAAACCATTGAATAGGCAAGAGAACTTGAAACAGAGGAGGGGGTTGCATGGTGCGAAAAGACTGTTTCCAGCTTTTCGCAGCTGTAATAAAAGACCGCACTAGGTAACAGAGGCAAGGCAGACATAATTGAAACGAGTGAAGCCTCAATTTTCCAGCGACTCTCTACCCGCCTTTAAGTAGCCACTCCAATTCGAACAAACAACATCCCAGATATTCCATTTCACACAAAATCCTCTCTCTTTATACCATCACACCCAGATGAACACACGAGTCTCGTACCTCACTGCCCCACCGCCTTCCCCCTAACCAACCCCTCCCTCTCCGCCTCCTCCCTCACATCCTCCCAAATCGGCCACGGAATCTGAAAAGCCTCCATAACCCTCGCATACGTAATCCCCTGACATCTCCCAATCGGCCTCGACTTCGCCGGATCAATATACTTCAAATCCTCATCCACCACATCCTCTCTGACCCAAAATTTCACCCCTTCCAAAATCGTCATGACATTGGAAATTTTCCCCTCGTGTTCTCGACTTTGAATCTCGTGGGTCCCCACTAATTTACATTCTACTGCAAACACCGCTTCGAGAATTCTACTCGGTGCCACGAGTGAGCACGAAGCGGGTGTCAATCCTGTAAGAGGCCATTCGGAAATTCCATAGGGAGTATCTAAAGCACTGGCATTCCCGGCCTCGAGAATATCTTCGGTTAAGATGTTTATTACGCATTCTTTGGTGGATAAAATGTTTTTTAGGCTGTCTTTGTTGGAAGAAGGGTTTACGGCGTGGCCGATGATGAAAGTTGGGGGGTCGTGGGACATGGCTTGGAAGTAGCTGTAGGGAGCGAGATTGGAGGTTGAACCATCGGGGGAAAGAGTGCTGAGGAGGGCGATGGGGCGGGGGATTATGGCGGAGGTTATCAGGCGGTAGTTGAAGGCTGGGTTGCGGTTGGGGGCGAAGGGGTCGATGGGGATTTGTTGGGGTGGTTGGGAGGTGGAGGAGGAATTTTCATTGTTGGAGAAGACTGCGCCTTGGCCGAGTTTCCAGTTGGGGTTTTTGGTTTTGGTCCAGGTAAAGGGTGTGGAGGAGTTCCAGTCGGGTCGGCTGTTTTCGGTGGGTTTGAAATCTCGTGGGTTGCGGGCTTTTTTGTCTACTTGGCCGGTGCCTTGGGTGCTGGGTGCTGGGGTGGATGATGATGCCATTGCTTGAAGATCGGTAGTTTTGGGTGGAATAGGTGGAATAGGTGGAATATGTCTTGAAGCTGTTGTAAATATATATGGTGGGGGTTTCGTTCGTTGATGACAGACAGTGTGGAAAGACAGTCGAGGATGGAATGGTAGAATAGACAGTCGTAGTCACAGACTGATGATCACGTATATGGTAGGTAAATCGATTGGGTCGGTTGTTTAGTTGAGAAGTTATTTATTCTACGGATTGGAGCTCTGATGAGAGACCAACCGGAAGTCAACCAGCTGACGTGACCACTTCTCGGCAACTCATGCGGCAGTCTTTAAGGCGTCCATATGCAGCTAGACTGGGTTCAAGAGATACACACATTCGTGAAATACTACACCAACAAGTCTGGCGCTGTCTCATGGCTGTGATATATTGTCATTTGACTATCTAGCCTAGGGCACACAGCGAAGGCGTCAATCAAGACGAGTCTCCGGTCTGGACTATATCTACGCCCAGTCATGTCATACAGAGGATATACCACGCAGGAATGCCGCGCTTGATAGCACCAACCATCTCGCTGTCAAGTCGTGCAAGAATCGACCCACCAATCGTTCCAATGGCAGGGTGACTCCGCTATTCCGCTCCGTCCATTGAATCGTCTCGGAGATCAAAGTGGCTCCCTGATTTCGTGGCCGCAATGAAATGACCACACGGCTCTGAACAGCCTCGAGATTCGTTGGTGACGAGACAGCGAGCTCCACCCGAAGAGGGCTTCTCTTCACAACCGCATAAGCACCATTGACGACATCGCCCTTGACAAAATTGAGCTTGTTGATGTGATCTGGTTGGAAAGTGTTTCTCTGGCTCGGAGTATTGAAAGCAAGCCAAGCAAACCAGCTCACGGGCGTCTTGTTGAATTGCGTGAAATGGTGGCGAAGGAGTGCGGTGAAGTCTCCCTCCATGTCTGCGCTCAGGCCAATGGTGACATCCTTGATGTGTGTGGTGACCTTGTCGTGGACGGTGCGATAGTCCTTGGCACTTTCGGTGAGGGTTTTGGGAATGGACTCGATTTCACCACACTCTGCTGATGCCCAGAGCGACCCGGCACTGGGCTGCGTGTGTGTCACTTGTCTTCCCAGGACGAAGTGATGTGCCAGTGGAAACAGGACAATACCAGCGACGGTGGCCGCACCTCCGGCTAGTAAGAGGCGCGAATTGCGGTCCTGTGGTAGTCTGATCAGGACTGCGCTTTGTGAGGATTGAGAAAGTGAATCCACTCACCTGAGGCAGATAGTGCTCAATCGTCCTGCTAGCATGCTCGACATATCGCTGCACATCAGCTTGGAACGGCATCTTGAGGCGGCCGTTTCTGCGTCGTCTTCGTCGTCGTCGTAGTTGTGGTTGTTGCTTCTTAGTACTGTACCTCACCGCCAGTCACCAGCACTATAGTCAGTACTACTGTGAGGCATATCTGAGCCGTGCTGTGGCGTCTCTCTACCCGGAAGGTTGTTGGAAAAGACCCTCGGCCTCGCTTCCTATACGCGATTTCTCCCGAGTCTGGATCCTTCATGCTCGCCTGTGACATGCAGCAGACTCATGAAGGTCCTCAGTACTTCCTACATGCGCCGAACTCATTGTACGCCAAATGTCTGGGCAGTGTTGAAGCGAGGGCGGAGTGAGGGGAAGGGGAAGGGGAAAGCTGGGGCGGTGGGCAAACTGAGACGGTTGGGAGGATCCAACATCCAACCACTACAGCATTGCACGTGATACAACCACGCTTTAACATTCTGCCGACCCCGATAAATTCTATTTCTTGGCAGTTTTCTGAACAGTTTGGACCTTGTACTCCAACTAGCAGATGCAGCATTCATTTGCTGCGAGATCCATACTGCCCTTGAGCGAGACGACGCCGAGATTGTGCATCGATCTTTACCGATGAGTGAATTACACCTGTTACCTTCAAGGCGCCCTATGCAAGATCCTCCTTCTGCTGAGCAACACTGCCATTATGACAAACGAGCCCAAAGGTCCAAGAGAGACTCAATATGGCCGGCAGACGAGACCGCTCACTCTGTCTCGCCTATTTTGGTGATAGCGTCCACTTGAGCAGGAGATGGCAGAAGAGAAAGACGTTGAGAGATTCCTTGCTCCGTGGTCCAGGGTGCAAGTTCGAGAGTGCTCATTTCGTAGCCTCTACTTTGACTTCATGAACCTGCAGTGCTTTGGATATATGTAGTGAGCTCACGCTCTCTATGGAACCGATGTCCCCGTCGCATCCGGCTTCAAAACCTCTGCTTGAGTGTCCTTCTGTCCAGTACTGATGTGGAATCGCGGCTGAGCTGTCAAGAACACAAGTCCGATATCAACACGATCGTATTTCCTACTCGATGTACTCTTATATCAACCACATGCTTTCGGTATGCTCGAGGTTCACACAAACCACGCTACTGCATGCCTGCTGAAGCTTTCCCAGCTCCGAAGAAGTAGCTATGAGTGGCCTAGGATCATTGGTCAGCGATGCCCAGCTCTCATCCATGTGTTGCAGACCTGTCCAGCTTCTCTCTTCATGGGGATATAACACGCTTCGACACCATCCACGATGTTGCATTTTCTTGGAGGGAATTGCTGACATCTGCGGCCTCTGACACAACTCTTGGCCTCACCGCATATCAGCTTAGCTACCCGCGGCCCGGCCAACCTTTCCTGGCCTATCTGTGCAGCTTACGACAGACACATTGAAGTCGAGCTTCTGCATCTCTCCACCAGAAGGTAAATCAGAACCTCGTCCGCAAAGCATGTCTCCCCATATGAAAACGATCGATGTCGGCAACAGCTCCCAAGCATACTATGCAGCTGCGACATCTTCCCATGCCCAGGAAATCATCCACATTGCGGGCCAACCAGGAACAAATGGACAAGGCATAGTGCCAGCCGACTATGAATCACAGATTCAGTTGGCACTGCTCAATCTGCGCAAAATCCTCCTCGCATCAGGAACGCAAGTCTCGGATATCCTGAAGTTGACTTTCTACATTGTCAACTATGATCCCGCCAGGCGTCTGCATACTAGGCATATCCAGAAGTTCTTGGATGGTCATCGACCGGCAATGACGCTCGTCCCTGTCCCTGCACTGGCAGGAGAAGGATGGCTGTTTGAGATTGAAGCTGTGGTGGCCAAACACAAGCCTATGCCGATTGCGAGAGCACCTTCTACCAAGACCTCCACAGTGGATGTAGTAGTGGTCGGAGCTGGACTTGCAGGTCTCACAGCTGCTGCGAAGCTCATCGAGTCGGGCTTGTCTTGCGTAGTGCTCGAAGCCCGAGAACGCGTTGGAGGCCGTACGTGGAGCAAAACAATTGGGCCGACAAATGATGGAACTGTCGACTTGGGAGCTGCGTGGATCAACGATACCAATCAAAGCCATATGATTTCTCTCGCAAGAAAATTCAATTTGGAATTGGTAGAGCAGAATACTACTGGAAATGCCGTCTTACAAACTTCAGAAGGAGACCTGAAATCTTTTGCCTATGGCGAATTGCCACCTTTCCTCGATGCCATCAAGGACAATATCGCATTCATCCGCGATCAAACAGAGGCCGATTGTCAAAGATTGGATCTTGCTTTCCCCCAAAATACCGAGCTCGATTCCATGACGTTTGCAGCCTATTTACGACGCAACGGAGCTTCAGAAGATGCCATGAAGACAGCCACCGTCTGGACACGAGCCATGTTAGGACACGATCCGGAAGATATCTCCGCCCTGTTTTTCTTATCCTATTGCAAATCCGGCGGCGGGCTCCTTCAAATGCGATCTGATCGCAAAGGCGGAGGTCAACATCTTCGACTTCGGCACGGAACGCAGCAGTTTGCAGAATGTCTAGCTCGAGAGCTTCCGCAGGGTGTTCTCCAATTTTCGAGTGCAGTTTCCGACATTCAGCAACTCGGACATGAGAATGTGGTGGTGCGTAGTAGTGGATCGACAACATTATACCACACCCGCAAAGTCATCTCAGCCATCCCATTACCAGTTTTGAAGAAAATTACCCTGGATCCACCACTCCCGCTAGCAAAACAATTACTCATCGATTCTTTCCGCTACGGATTCTATCAAAAAGTTATGGTAGTTTTCCAAACACCCTTTTGGCTAACCAAAGGCTCTTGTGGACTCATCCAATCCTTCCGCGGACCCGCCGGAGTCATTCGCGACACGAGCGTTCCCATCGACAATAAACACGTTTTGACCTGTTTTGTCGCAGGCACGCCCGGTAAACAGTGGTCGCGGCATAATGAGTCGGAGAGACAGCGTCAGATTCTAGAGCAGATTGCAAACGTATTTGACTACCCCAATGCAAGAAATGAGCTCGTTGAAATTGTCACTTTACCGTGGTCGGATGAGGAGTGGACGGGATATGGCTGTCCATCGCCTGCTCTGCCGCCTGGGGTGTTGGATGTCGCTGGTCATGCGATTCGCGATTCTTTTCGTGATTTGCATTTCGTGGGCACGGAGACTAGTGATGTGTGGAAAGGGTATATGGAAGGAGCGGTTCGATCAGGTGATAGAGGCGCTGTAGAAGTGATACGCAGCTTGACGAGTGTAGTTGCGAAGCTGTAGAGGGATTTTTGCGTCCTCTTGCTGCTGCTGCTATATACAACCCACACCAAAAACCTGTATAGATGAAATCAGAAGCCTACCTACTACATGGAGGTTCTTCGACCCTGATTTCTTTTTATTTTTCTCCCATCTAGGATGTATACAAACCTCATCCTCACGACCACAGTCTAGCCAGTAGGTAATACCTACCCCAGCAACATCTGCCTGCTTGCTTGCTCACTTCGAAAGCCCACTGACTTCTTCCATCTATAGACGAGTGATGACGATAAGAAGCAAACAACAAGCAAACGCAAAAAACCGATACAAGAAAGCCACAAATCCCATCTTCCATCCAAAATCGACCCCAAAAAATGTCTTCCACACCCACGACTAAAGAAGAAGAGGAAGAAGAAGATTCTTTTCGCAGTACTAACACCACCGGTTCATCTAATTCTAAGCGGTCAACGGTAGTGAAAATTCCTGTGAAGAAGAAGGAGATGATGAAGAAGAAGAAATCTATCACTGTCCCCGCTGCCTTCAATTCGGTTGTGGAATCGATTTCGATGGCCGATCAACAACGACAGGCACAGTGCACTTCTACTGCTACTGCTAATGCTACGCAGACTTATCGTGTAGCAGCCCTAGCAGCAGTCCCAACAGCTCCAGGAGGAGAAAAAGACGAGATTAAAAAGGAAGAAGCGGAACAGGAACTAGGAGAAGAACAGGAGGAATATACCATCATTCACAAATCTACCATTCCGGCACCTGGGGCATTGGAAACGATGGGAAAAGCTTATGCTAGTGAAGTTTTCCCGGGATGAATGATAAATAATAAGTAATAAGAGCAGCACTTAGTTGAGGATTATAATTTATGAGGATGAAAGAAAAGGGCTAGGTACGTCGTCGGTAAACTCTCTTTCCGAAGATATCCCGAGATCTTTTTCTTTTCCTTCGGCTCAAGTCAATGATCAATCAATCCAAGCGGGGCGGGGCGGGGCGGAGCGGGGCGGAGAGCGGGGCCTATCGTCGTCACGTTTAGTAGCAGCTTAGATAATAATAATCTTTTGTTGTCGGATCGGAGTTTGCTCGCTAGGTATTCGACGACATTCTTCTTCCTACATTACAAACAGTAGATCGACCCATCGGAGCCATCATATATTGTCTATGACCTCACACTGCTATTTAATCATTATCCATTACGGAGCGGATGTCGATGACGGTGTACAATCAATCTATGGGTCCTGACGCGCAAGAGCTCGTTCGGGAGTGGGAATGAGGTACTTAGCCGTGTGAAGGCTACATGTACAGAGTGATCGGTCCGGGGGAGATAACAAGACAAGCTCCTTTCTTGAGCCCCCCCCTTTTTTTGCTGGACGGGAAGGATTGATGGATAGACGGTTGGCGGTCCGGGGGAGAGACTCTGTCTGTCTCTCTCTCTCTGACTGTGAAGCACTCTGCATGGAGTGTACAAGCCGATGTGGTTTTGAGAGGGGAAAAAGTAGCTCTCCATGGGGTATGTGTTATTCACCCGCATCCGTAGGAAGGTGAGGTTAAAATGCACACTTTCCTACCTCTCCTCTCTTCTTCTCTCCTTTCCTTTCCGTACAAAAGGAAGCCTCTGGGAAGTACTTTTTGAAGAAAAAATTTGTTCTCATCACATTGATAAATCGTGCCCTCGCAAAACTTGTCAGCCCACTGCAAGATCTTATATATATAACCACCCCACACAACCTCCTCCCAACTTCCTCTCTCTCCCAGCAGAGCATCATACATACAGCAAGCAAGCACAAGCAACCATGAAAGGAAAAATCGCCCTAGAAGAAGCCTTCGCACTCCCCCGCCACACGGAAAAAACCCAATGGTGGGCCAGCCTCTTCGCCGTCGACCCGCGCAAACACACCCAAGAAATCAACGACATCAACATCCTCCGAATTTCCCTCATGGACAAATATAACGTAGGCTACAAAATCCTCTCCTACACAGCTCCGGGCGTCCAAGACATTTACTCCCGGCCCGAAGCCGACGCTCTGGCCCGCGAAGTCAACGACCATTTAGCTCGAGAAATCAGCGGCTTCGAGACCCGTCTGGGAGGTTTTGCGACGTTATCAATGCATGATCCTGTCACCGCCGCCGAAGAATTACGGAGATGTGTGACGCAATTTGGATTTAAAGGGGCTTTGATCAATGATACGCAACGCACAGATGCCTCTGGCTCGGAAATGATATTTTACGATACACCCTCTTGGGATGCGTTTTGGTCTGTTGTGCAGGAATTAGATGTTCCAGTATACCTCCATCCTCGCAACCCGACAGGAGTGTTTTATGAGAAATTGTGGGAGCCGAGAAAATGGTTAATTGGGCCTCCGTTGTCGTTTGCGCAAGGGGTGAGTTTGCATTTATTGGGATTGGTGACGAATGGAGTATTTGATAGATTTCCGAAGCTGCAAGTGATTGTGGGGCATTTGGGTGAACATTTACCGTTTGATTTGTGGAGGATTAATCATTGGTTTGAGGATGTGAAGAAGCCGTTGGGGTTGGGGTGCAAAAAGACGATTAGAGAGTATTTTCGGGAGAATGTCTGGATTACGACGAGTGGACATTTTTCTACGAATACGCTGGAGTATTGTATTAGGGAGATTGGGGCCGAGAGGATTTTGTTTTCGATTGATTATCCGTTTGAGTCGTTTGAGGATGCGTGTGGGTGGTTTGATGGTGTGCAGTTGGAGGAGAAGCTTGGGGGGGAGAAGGCGGTGAAGGCGATTGGGAGGGATAATGCGGCGAGGTTGTTGAAGTTGAAGGGGTTTAAGGATGAGGAGGCGTAGGATTGGATGGATGGATTTTACAGACTTGGGATACTAACGAATCATGATCAAACAACTTTCATGTTCACGACGAAAATACCATCCACTTTCATAAAAGAAATAAGGAAAAAAGTAATTTCATATTCATTCATACCCAATCCCCATCCCCATCCCCACCCTCAACATCCCATAAAACATCAACAACAAAAACAATCCCACCAATTCACTTCACTCTCCTCACAACTGCGCCGAAATCGCCGAAGTAGTAACCATAGGCTGATACCCCGTGCCCTTCTCCTCCGTCCTCGACAACGCCACATCATACTGCAGCGTAAATTCCGCCTTGGGATCCCCCTTTCGAGGTTCAAATTTCACCACCAAAGAATCTTTGACGGCAAATACAGAATCATCTTCCAAGTATTTGGATTCCGAATCGAAAATTTGCGTCGTGATGGGTTTGTGGCCTTCGTGTTGCACAATGTAGTGGATGTGTGCGGGGCGGAAAGGGTGGCGGTCCATGAGTTCGAGGAGTCTACCGGCGGGGCCGTCGTTGGGGACCTAGGAAGGGGTTGGGTTAGTGTTTTTATTTTTATTTATTTTTATTTTATTTTGAATCTCTTTATTTTTTTTAATTCCTTTTTTTTTCTTTTTACTATTTCTTTGCAATTTTCTTTTGTATTGACACAAACAGAGAGAGATGAAAACTTACTGGATATGGAGTTGGTCGAAGGCAGTAAAAGGCATATTTACCCTCTGCAGTGGTATAGAACTTTCCACGGAGGTTGTGATCGTCTTGCGCATCATCTTGTTGCTCGTAGAGTCCTATAATACGATTTCTCTGTCAGCAGAAGTCGGTGGAAAAAGAAAATGAAAAAAAAAAGGAGAGAGAGGTGCTGCGACGTACCATTGGTGCTTGCTTGCCAGACATCAATCGAGGCATTCGGAATAGGCTTGCCAGTCTTGGCATCTGTCACAGTTCCATGGACATAGGCAATCTGGCCATCAGGAACATCATGCAAAGAAATGGTGCTACCGAATTCTCGCACGGGGTGATCATGTCGAAAGAAAGGACCCAAAATGGCCGAAGCCGTAGCAGAATCTGCTGCATCTGTAGCCTTTCGAACAGTAATATCATCCACCAATCTGCACACATATGAGTTGTTAGTTCAACAAACCAAAAAAAAAGAATCTCCACCAGCACGCAGCGAAAAAAAAAACGTACGATTCTAGACCAATCACGTCACACAGCAGTTGGCCTTCGTTTCGTTTCTCGTTGCTCATCTGACCGGCCCAGTTGACGAGCTCTACGCCCGCCATCCACTCGTCGACGGTGAGATTCACTTCGCGGGCAAAGTCGTGGATGTGGCGAATGAGCGGGCCCATGACCTCTCGCAGGCGTGCATCAGTCTTGGGACCCATGGCCTTGATGATGTTCTCCGTCCACTCCTTGTCGAGACCGACATCTTTTGTCGTCTGTCCGTTGGTGGGGGCCATGTTGTTGTTGTTGTTGTTGTTGTTGTTGTTGTTGTTGTGTGAGAGGTGGGGAGATGGATAATGGATGGTTGAGTGAGGGGCACAAAGCAGTGTGAAGGATCAGATCAGCGGCAGAAAACAGGAGAGAGAGATGAGATGAGGTGATCTAGAAATGGAGACGACTGATGCTGATGATGCTGCTGATGATGAAGATGATGATGATGGAGGAGGCAATTCCGGAGGGTGGAGTTGGCATTTGGTAAGCAGATATATCAGCAGCATCAGTAGACGTCCTTTGTTGTGCCGCCAACCGCCGAGTGTGAGTGTGAGCTGTATATCCGAAAGTCCCCTCCTCACTTTCGGAAGCGCTTCGGATGTGGATGAGGGCACGGCCGGGGTACCTCCTAAACAACCCATGTAACGGACGGACGGCGGCACACCCGCTGCCTGCCCTTGGCGTGGCGAGTCTACTCACTCTACTCACGCAGTCTTACTCTGCTGGGAGGTAGTCTGTATGTGTCAGTGAGTAATCCCTGGTTTTTTCTGTTGTCGACGACCATCCCGTCGCCTCCTATTCGCGGGACTCGGGATTAAGCAACAAATTAGGCATCTCTCTAGGAGGTAGCTCGGGGGGGGCACTTTGGAGATCACTCGCTGACACTCGGCACGTTTGCTCAGGGACATGGAAAAGGGATGGGATTCATGGGCATGACTGTTTGTTTGATCTGCTCGAGACTTTTGTCCGTCTTCACTTGGAATTTTACCCCACCTGCACCCTCATTGCTCAGTGCTCAGCCTCCCGACGCTCCGCTCTCCATTTCAAGTGCCCGCGCCCCACGTAATCGTATAGTCGCATACTAATCGATAATAATCATCAATAATACGGACACTTGTAACAGTCGCAAAGCTGCCTCCTCCCTACACTCATAAGGCATCCTCTCTAGAGTCTAGGGGAGACACGGACAGAGTACAACAGTGACCTATTCTCTCTCGCCATGTCCTATGCTAGAGACGTCGACTCGTGCCGTACACCTCCATCACTATCATTATCATCATGCTCGTGGAAGTGCTGTAGCCGGGTGCACGATCCGAGCACCAGCTTATCGTGCCAAAGTAACCTTCACATGTGACGGAAGTTGTATCAACACGATCGTCGGAGGTCACGAATCCAGAATGATAGCGAGAGGAGACATTTAGATATCGTCGAGTGCCGCTCCATTGCAGTTTTGATCATCATCATCATCATCAACAAACACCAGCAGCAGCAGCAGCACCCTTCACACAAAAAAAAAGACAAAGTCTCAGAATAGGGGGGAAAATTCACCATTACCTTCCCTTCCCTAACTAATTCATCAAAACTTTGACCCAGCGACCCTTCGAAAGTAACCGTTCCACCATGGCCCTTCCAGGAACAAACTGGAAACCCTTCAACATCGCCGTAGTAGGCGGCGGAATCGGCGGCGTAGCAGTCTCCATCGCTCTACGACGAGCAGGTCACCACGTCACCATCTACGAACGAGCAGACTATGCCGGAGAAGTAGGAGCATCGATTTCCTGCGCTGCAAACGGCATGAAATGGCTGCGGGAATGGGATGTGGATATTGCCAAAGGTGATGGAGTTTATCTTCGCAAACTGATCAATCGCGATTGGAAGACGGGTGAGCCGGTTAGTGTGTATGATTTGGGAGATTATGAGCAGAAATGGGGAAATCCGTGAGTTTTTTTTTTAAATCATTTTCAGGAGATATGAGTGAACTCAGAACAAGTTATTACAAGGCCGATTGAATATTAATAAACATCTTCTTGTAGGTACTACATGTTCCATCGACAGGATATGCACAAAATGCTCATGGACACAGCGACGCAAGAGCAAGGAACAGGGACACCTGTCAAATTGGTAGTGAACCACAAGGTACTCCAAAACCATATCTTTACCCATCTCACCCGATCCTTGCACATGATTTCCTCCGAAGCTGATATGCTGATAATAATAAATGTATTAGTGCATCGAAGTCGACACTTCAACCGGCCTCATCACATTCGCCAACGGCTTACAATTCCAACACGACGTCGTCATCGGAGCCGACGGCATCGGGTCCGCAATTCGGAAAATCATAGGCATCCATGTCGACAAACGGCCCTCGGATTCCAGCTGCTTACACGCCAACGTCATAACCTCCGCCGCCGTATCCCAAGGCTTCGTAAACTACAGTCTCAACAGCGCCATCGAATACTGGGGCGGACATCACAGCTGGAACAAAATTGTTTTATCGCCCTGTAACAGCGGAAGTCTCCTATCCTACTACTGTTTCTTCCCCCGCGAAAAAGGGGATTTTACGGAACAGAAATGGGATGCGGAAAGTACGGTCGAAGACCTTCTTGCCCCGTATCCAGATCTTGATACACAAGTCAAAAATCACCTTTCCATCGGTCAAGAAATTCGTCCTTGGAGACTCTGGGTCCATCAACCCTATTCCCACTGGCATCAATCTCGAGCCTGCATCATGGGCGATGCCGCTCACCCGATGATGCCCGATCAAAGTCAAGGAGCATGTATGGCTCTCGAAGACTCCGCGGCGCTCGGATTAATTTTCTCCAAAGAGTACTTTCCGGGGAGTGTGGAGGGTGCGTTGGAGTTGTATGAGCGAGTGAGAAAACCTCGAGCATCGAGAGTTCAAGCGGCTTCGGCGCGGGCGAGAGAGAATATTCATGAGAGAATTGGGTTTTCGGATAATACGAGTAATCCTTTGTATAAGGTGGAGGATGAAGAGGGGAAGTTGACTATGAAGGAGATGAATGGGTATGATATGCGAGAGGATATTAGGAGGAAGTGGCCGGGGGAGTGGCCGGAGGGGTTGGGGGGTGTTGGTGGTGGGAGAGAGGAGAAGGGAGATGATGGGGTGGCGATGCAACAAGCGGGGGTGGTTGTTGCTGCGCATTGATGGATTGTCTTCTGATTTAGTTCTCGGTTGTGGAGCGTTAGGCGCAGTATGGAGGATAGAAGCATACCTGGGTGTTAGAATACCACTTTCATTCTTCAACAATTAAACAATCCAAATCACTCTCCTGGAAAGTAAAATATTATATATCCCACATGCATCATCATCATCATCACCACTGACTATCCAGAAGCAAAAGCACAAAACACCACATAGAACCACCCCTCCAATCTTCATCCTCGTCCAATCTTCATCCAAAATTCAATTCATCATCACATCATCATCCTCTCCATCGGCCACAAAGTCTCCCAATCAATATACAATCCATCCGAAAGCAGAGGATCCGCCATTGTATTCCAACTCGCATCGACATCGACATCGACATCGACATCGACATCAGCATCAGCAATGGCATCAGCATCGGGATATGCAGTTGCTGAAGAAGACGAGAACTCGTCGACATATCCATTAGAAGAAGGATTTGCGAATTCGTCAAAGGTTAAGAGGTTGTTGTGATTGTTGTTGTTGTTCACTCCTCCAATAGCAGAAGCAGGAGCAGGAGCAGTAATATTGATATCGACGTGATGAGGATGATGATGATGATGATGATGATGATGAGAAGAATTCGGCGTGGGAATGGTAGTAGTAGAAGTAGAGTATGCCGCTGCTGTAGCAGGAACTGGAGGATGATGATGATGATGATTTCCCCTCCCACCACCACAACAAAACTCCGCAGTAAAAATCTGACTCACGTACGGATTACTTCTCTTCCTCCTCCTCTGTTCTCTTCCAACTTGCTCTCTCCTCGCGACAATCGCATCCGACAAGGTCCGGAGAATTTCCAAATAATGTCGAGCTTGCGGCGAGACAGATGCTAAACGTTCGAGAACTGCAATTGCATTATGGAAAGCTTCGTCGACGTCCGGGAGGAGGAGAGAAGAAGAAGAAGAAGATTCTTCACTGTGCGCAAACATGGAGAAGCCGAGGAGGAGGCCGGCGGCGAACATCCAGGCTTTGAGGAGACACATGTTGTTGGAGAGAATGGTGGAGTTGATGGACATGTAGCCGGTTTTGGACATGAAAATTGCGCTGTCGAGGCAGGCTTGGGCGAGGTCGGAGACGGCCGAGTGTGGTTGTTGTTGTTGTTGCTGCTCTGCTGTTGCTGCTGTTATTGTTGATTCGAGGCTGGGTTTTCTCCGTTTACGAATTTGGGAGATGAGGTGGGAGATGAGAAAAGGTCGGGTGACGAGGATGATGGTGAAGTAGTATGAACAGGCGACGTGTGTAGCACCGATAAAGAGCTCACGATCCGCCGGTCCGAGGGTATCTTTGAGGCTGGCAAAGTGTCGGAGTTCGGTGGGAACAGAATCATTCCATTTTCGTAGTCGTTGCAAGAATGCATCTGCTGTTTGGGCGTCCATACTCTGTCCACTGCCCAGCTGTTGCTCTAATTCGATGATGTGTGAGCATATCCCAAACACGGCTCTGGATGCAAGCCATCGGGGTCGATCAGCTTTTCCCACTTCTCCGTCACCATCATAAGCAGTATCATCGTCAGGCCGCATGGCCGGCAATCCGCCAGGCCTGCCGAGGATCGAAGAAACGATAGTATCCAGCACCAGCAAGCTTTTCCACGTCCTCCATCGGGCCAGGCTCTCCGCGTCCGAAAGGTCCTTGTATTGGTCCTGTCGGTGCAAGCCGAGCGCGCATGCGGCTTTGGATGCGATTCCCAGGTACATGAAGGCAGCGTTACGATGACAGGCACCGAGCATGTAAAAAGCCATGAGCAGGAACACTCTCACCATGTCCAGGCTAGGGTCGCACAGAAAGCCTTCGAAAGCATACTTCTGGGCGCAACTAAACGAGCGGGCAGCATTGTGCACGTCAAACATGTTGTGGCCCCGACATTGATGGCCAATGGCGAGCATCATGTTCAGTGCAGCCTGCTCGGCTCGTGCTCTCTTGTCGACTTCCTCAATCACATTGCTGGGACTCAGAGCCGTATGACGATCGAGAAAACCACGCACTTCGGCTACAGTGAAGAGATCGAGAATGCCGCTCGACTGCAGCAGCCCCCTGCTGTCAGCCTGGTTGTTGCCGAGCACAAACCACAGACGGGACTTACGGTTTCGCGGTAGAGTTGCACGAGAGCGTGCTTGTCGCTTAGCGAAAGATCCGTCATGACCGGACTCTCGTCTCGCGGGATTTCCATCTCCAGCATATTATCCTTGAACGGGTTCTCGGTGAAGCTAAGACATGCAGTAAGCATCAATGTTCATTCACTTGGCCATATTTCTTGACTACGATCTTGCCCCTGCATATTCGCCTGTGCGGGAAGCTGGTCACCAAAGTGCCGGGCGTGGCACAGTAGTATCAGGTAAGCAAAGGATGGAACGTACGCGGAAGGCCCCATGTACTTCTTCATGATCCTTCGCAGGAAGTGCAGGAAGGAGAGTGATGCATTCTCGCCCACGTAGACTGGCACTCATATCAGCTCGGAGGAAAGGCGGGCGCGCTGTGGCTGACCCCTTGATTGACTTCCTGAATGGACGGACTTACGCTTCTCGCCTTTCGAACTCAGCAGCATTCGACTCTGCGTCATCCGTGAATGGGCTGGTTCAGGAGTATTGCTAGGAGAAGTGTGGGTACCAGTGCCAGTGCCATCTCCGTTTCTCGCACGTGCACCCACATGGCTCGCTGACGGCTGCATGATCGCAACGGGTGGCATGGCGCCGTTGGTTCGCCGCTCCGAACGAGCATCTTGGGAAGATCCCTCTCGTCGAGAAGCGTATGGAGAAGTGTTGTCCTCTACACTCGGCGTCGGAAATGGCGACGTCTTTTGTCGTTTCCGAGACGACTCCAGGTAGATGCACGAGTCGATACGGTTACGTTTGAGGCATGGTCCACAAGGAGCACTGGCATCACATCGAATCTTGGAGGCTTTGCATGGCACGCAAGCACGTGCTGAGCGCTGTCTAATCGGGGCATGGTGAGTCGTCGACTACTCATGGACAAGCAGACGGACGGACAATGCCTCCGGATCTGCAACACATACCGATCTTGTGGTTTGACCTGCCATGCTGTTAGTCAATGCCGAACTACTAGGAGCATAATATTAGCACACGGGGGACGTGGTCCACACACCTTCGGACGGGGCATTTTTGCAGTCTGAGCGATGATCCTGATGCCGCGCCGCCCTCTCTCGGATGCTTCCCAGGTTGCTGTTCACCCGGCGAGGACTTCGGCTACGGGACACACAAAACACACATCACTGGAGCTCCCGTGTCAACAATGGACAGAGAGGATGGCCTTTCATCCGCCTCGTTCTATGTCTGTCACGGGCCCAATCTCGGGGGTATGATAGGTATCCAAACACGCAATTCGTGTTGGCTGCTGTCTACACTGAAGATAACGTCGGTAGGTTACGAGACACAGTGATAGGCAGCGCGGTTGTGTCTTGGATACGATCCCTCCGAGCACATGGGCGGCCGGTACGCGGACCGTGCACTCCTTTCTTCCATCCCCTCCCTCCTAGGGCTCCTAGTCTATACCAGCTGCAGAAACTGTTGCAACTGTGCACTGCACTATATTCACTTCACTATATTCACTTCACTGTCTGTACCCACCTTGGTCTAGAAAAGCCCGTCGTCTAGGAGAGGCAATATCCAGAAATACTACTATAAAGAACAAAGAAGACTGTTACCTCCTACTACATAATGCTCCCTAGCATGAAGCAGTGTCAGCTTATGCAGACTCCCTCCAACAAACACTTTTGACACGGCTCAAACCACGAGCTTTGTCCACACCTCTTTCTTCCGAAATTCTAGGCTACGACTAGAACGATTCAACCGAGTCCGACTCCGCATTCAGCACTACCTCCTACTCTACACTCTTGTCCCGAACGCCATTTGTCACTCTATCCTCTCTCCAGCCGTTCATCTGCCTTCAAGACCCCGCTCGGTAGGCGTAGAGAGACACGATAGGTAGACTACCGGAAGAGCTGGTCTTGCTTCTATTGGTAGGCGGTATAGGTAGATCGCCTGCGGACACATGGAGGCTTGGGCACATGATAAAAACCCACCGAAATGTTAATCATAATGACTTTATTTTTTGGGGAGGGGAGTTGTTCAAATAGTTCGCTCGTTGTCCACTACTTGCAATAAGAATCATCTCCCGCAATCGTATATCTTGTTATTTCAAATATCATCATGGCTACCACTAACGGAAGCAGCGAAACGGGCACCACATCATTCCCCGGCCAGGATTGGACAGTTCCTCTGTGGTTAGATGGCAAACAAGTCACCACCGAGCATACCTTCGATCTTGTGGCACCAGCAACAGGCAATACGCTATACAAGACTTCTTCCGCCAATGTAAACGACTGCAATGCTGCTGTAGCGGCAGCGGAAAAGGCTTTCCCCGCATGGAGCAAGACCAAGCCTTCATTTCGAAGAGAATTGCTCTTGAAAGCCGCCGATGAGCTCGTTCGCAGGAGAGAGGAACTGTGGCAATTCGCCAACAAGGAAGTCGCTTCGACTGAGAACTACTTTGCTTTTGACTTCAACGACGCCGTGGAGTCTCTGAGGAGTACTGCTGGTCTGATCGGTGGTGCCGCCCAGGGTTTTCTTCCTGATATTCTGTCCGAGGACAGGAGTGCCATGGTCGTCAAGGAGCCATTTGGAGTCGTTTTAGCCATTGCACCATGGAATTGCCCTTGTATCCTGGGCTTGCGCTCTTTTCTGGGGCCACTTGCTAGTATGTTTTTGTGCAAAAGTCAAACAGATCATGATCATCCTCTCCGTACTGACATGCTCGCATCGCAGTGGGGAACACGGTCGTCGTTAAAGCATCTGAAAAGGGCCCCGGCAGCATGTGGGCTTTGGTCGACATCTTCCACAAGGTTGGTCTGCCGGCGGGCTGCCTCAACACCATCACACATCACCGGGGAGACGGGCCTGAGATTGTCACCACGCTCGTGAGCCACCCCACAGTGCGAAAAATCAATTTCACCGGCAGTACAGCTGTAGGCGGGATTGTTGCGAGTCTTGCTGGAAAGCATCTCAAGCCAGTATTGATGGAGTAAGCCGATATCCTCTTTTTTTTTCTTTTTTTCTTTTTCAATATAACCTGAGGGCAAGCTGCAGAACATTTTCTCTAACAAAAAATCCTCACAGAGCCGGTGGAAAAGCGCCAGCGATTGTATGCGAAGATGCCAATCTCCAGAATGCCGCCATCCAATGTGTCGTCGGAGCATTTCTCTACTCGGGCCAAATCTGCATGTCCACCGAGCGAGTGAGTTGAAAAAAGACTTCTCCCTCATTCCATCATTGCCCCCCCTTGCAATATACTAAAAAACTCCTTCTTTTCAGATCCTCGTCCACAGCAAAATCGCCGACCAATTCCGCCAAATCCTGCGCGCAACCATTGACCAAATTTTCCCCGACCAAAACGGCCTCGTCATGGTTGACAAAGCGCCCGTGGGCAGAAACGCCAGTTTATTATCTGATGCCGTCTCCAAAGGCGCCAAAGCCATTTACGGCGACGTCAACGATAAACGCGAACTGGCCACGGCCATGCGACCCGTGATTCTCGAAGATGTGAAGAAAGATGCAGATCTCTACTATCAAGAAAGTTTCGGCCCGACAGTTTCGTTGTTTGTGGTAGAGAGTGATGAAGAGGCAATTCAGATTGCGAATGATACTGAATATGGTGAGTTGAGAAGAACATCCCTCCCTCTTCTTCACTCCCCCCTGTTTCCTTTACCTAACCTAACCTAACCTAACCTCCCCTCCCCTCTCTCTCACCATCTAGGTCTCGCCTCCGCCGTCTTCACCGAAAATCTCCAACGAGGACTGCGCATCGCGCGACAAATTGAAACAGGAGCCGTACACATTAATTCCATGAGCGTCCACGACGAACCCAGTCTGCCGCATGGTGGAGCGAAGAAGTCTGGGTTTGGAAGATTTAATGGTGAGGAGGGTTTGCGGGAATGGTATCGGATGAAGACGATTACTTGGGCGAATTAGATATGGAAGGGAGAAAGAGGGAAGGGGGAAAAGAGGGGAATGGAAATTGGTGGGGAGGTGGAAGGGGTGGCTGATTTGTATATACGTAAGGTCAGGTAGGAGGTAGGTACGCCTGTTGTGGTGGCTTTCGTTGGAGGTGAAGGAATTGAAAGATATATAAATGTATATACCTGATGTTCGGATATTGAAAATTCTTTGCCTCAACACCCCTCCAAAATTCCTACCGTCTTTTCATCATATTTGCGTTTTCGTACATGTCTTACGTTTTTGATATATGTATATATATATATATATATATATCGATCAGAAACGCCACTCTCCACTTCGTTGCTGCTGCTACTATAAGCAGCAGTAGTTTTTCATAAACCACACTCATCCATAAGTCGTCGTAATAGTCGTAAAAAAAAGAAATCCTTGCGACCTCCCCTGCCTTCTCTTTCTCAAATAGCTATATAGGTAGATACTGTCTACCCTCTTTCACACAACAACAACCACCTCCCCCTCCCCATCCTCCTTCCCCTTCCCCATCCCCATCAAAGAATTCCCAACCCTCTCCTCAGGATACTCCACCCTCAACACCCCCTTTCTCTCCCCCTCCCTTCCATCCTCCTTTTCTTCCTTCAACCCCCCCACCTCAACCCCAACCAAAGGATTTTTCACCTCAAACTCCCCCTCCTGATAACCCTTCCAAGTCCCCCTCAATTTCATCTCTGCAACCTTCAACCTCTGAGAAGATTGTTTAGAAATCCATTCAGACATATTTTTCGCGAGAGCAGTAGGAGAATAATATTGATGATTGGGACGATGTTGTAAATTCGACATTCTCGTCGACGACATTGACGTCGACATGGATGTTGTGGTGAAGATGATGATGAGAAGGAGAAGAAAGGTGAGAAAAGGTGCGAGATATCGTTTGGTGCGGAGGGGATTGCTGTAGCGTGTTGTGGACGTGGGAAGGAGGCGGTGGTGGCGGCGGCGGGGAGACCAGGGGGGAGGAGGGTCTATGGGGGATTTTTGGGGGGAGAGGAGGCCGCCTGGGGGAGTGTGGGGAGGGGAGGTGGGTGACCAGGGCATTGTGGTGGTTTGGTGGGTGGTGGTTTGGTAGTTGTTGATGAGTAGGTTTATATGTTTGAGTTGCTTTGTTGATGGTCACCACACAGCCAGTGGGAATGGTTCTTGATTTTCTTTTCTTCGGAGCTGATCAAGAGTGGTTTGGGAGAGATGTAGCTTGAGGGGATTTGTCGTCAACGAAAGAATCGTGAATGTTGATGTTGATGATGTTTGTTGTTGTTGTTGTTGTTGTTGTTCCTTATCAATGGGACATGTATCAAAATACGATATGACGAAGCGAGCCCACCAGTTGCAATGGCAATGGCAATGCAACCCATGAAAGATGCCTGTACATGTGCCTATAAGGTAGGTATGAATGATGATCGAAATCCCTTTGTCAGTGATATCCTCACCAGGGCATCTCCCATGTCCCATTGACCACACATCTCCCATCACCCGCTAACCATCCAGACGAGCGTCTGCATCATAACAGTGATTGGCCCGCTCGGTATCTTCTACACTTACCGACCTCTACCTAACCTATCTGTAGCTAGCCTCTCCTCTTCTCTCCAACTTTTCTCCATGAATTTCTATACCTCCAGAAAGTTTAAAATCAAAAAATCGTACCTCTTGTACCTCCGTAACGCCACCCCCGACTTGCAAAGAAGGGCCGGCCGGGAAGATCCTTCTTTTTATCCTACCAACTACCTCCTACCACTAGTGCGACTCGCCAAAAGTCCAGAAGCCTCGGTAGGTTCTAGATCACATGCGTCGTTACCGAGAAGAGACAATCGAGATAATCATGACTCGTGCCACCTTGTGCACATGCCCTGCTTTTTCGTAGCGCCTGCTAGTGAATTGAATTCATCACAATTTCCATAAGAGTAAGCGTAAGTAGGTGATCAAACTGCACGCATATGCGACTCGACATCTCTCGTAAAAAAAAACGACTCTCTGGTGCGTCCATGTCCCATAGGTACGATACCTTACAGTGAACATAATAAAATACAGATTCCCTCTTCTTGGCAATATGTATTTCTCCATAGCTTCCCCCGCTTTTTGAACAATAACCACGTGGCTGGTCACGCCGAAGAATCTGGACCGCGCGCGGTTGACGCCACCAGATGAAGAAGGATGATGATGTGAGATTTGTGATGAGCGTGGAGATGATGAGGCACAAGCACACCGCTGAGATAAGCATTGATTCGGCTCGGCTTCTTCCTTTGGGATCAGCAAGCTAATCCAAGCCCCTTGTTGCATCGGAGCTGCGTTGCCCGAATGCACATGCGGAGATGTTTGAGTAGTAGGTTTTGAGAGCGGAGCTAGTAAGCCTGGGCTCTCGGAAGACACAAGGGCGGCAGAGAATGCGAGCGAGCATGTTGATGAGAACGTTTGTACAATCTATCGTATTGTGATGATGATGAGAGGGGTCCGGCCGTCAAGTTTGTACATGCTATGAATTCGTCTTCTCCTCGCTCTGACTCGTGGCCGCCTTGAGAGATGGCTTCTCCGGCAGAAAACACGCATACAACCAGGCCGTGAACTTGATCGCGCTGTCGTCGACCACAATGGTCATGATCTCGGCCAGCCACATGGTGAGCGGCAGGAGAATCATCTGACACAGGACGAAGCTGAGCTCCAAGCCTTTTGGCCCCCACTTGGGCAGAGGAAAGCGCCCCACCCACCAAGGCATGAGGAGGATGTGATGGCCGGGAATGGTCCAGCCTACGGCGCAGTACAGTCGATCTCCGAGAGCCCAGAGCACGGGGCCATGCATCAGGTAAAGCATGAACGAGATGCGACCCAAGTGTTGGCAGAAGCGAGTCTCGAAGAATCGTTTGGCCCAGGGCACGTGAGGGACCGAGCAGACCAGGAAGGTCGCGGCCCAGAACAAGAAGAACCATCGGAAGTCAAACACCGCCTGGGGTTTCAGGTAGGAGAGATAATACCATCCCGGGCTCTTCTTTAGGATCGATACTTCGATCGAGTGCGATGGGATTCCTCCCAGCAAGATGGACACGGTGAACAAGGTGTAGTAGATGGTGCTCTTCATCGGCTCCAAGGCCTTCATCCAGCGGGGAAGAGTGCCTTCGGCCGCTCTCATCTCGAGGTCGCAGATCATCATGCCTCCCAAGAACATGGCAAAGTAGGCGCCGTCCACAATGTACATCATGTAGTACCAGAGTCCCACCATGCACCACAGCCGCCCATCTCGCGTCATTCTCGACACTGCCATGCACGTGGTGTAAACCAGGATGGAGCCCTTGAATTCCACGGGAATGGTCCAGATGTGAGGGTGGTAGTCGTTGATAATCCTGTTTCCCGTATCGAAAATGAAGAACATGTTCTTGCAGTCGCAGTACCACTTCCAAATTTCGTCCTTGAGCGTTTTCTGCGGCTCAAACGACATGTGGATGCCAAACAGATGTGGAGTGCACATGATCATAAAGGTCACCGCAATGATGGGCAGGTAGAGGCGCAGCCATCGCTTGAAGAGCGAGGCCGAGATGTTGTCTCCCAGCAAGACGTACTCTCCTTGTCTCATGAGTTGCAGGGGCTTCACGGACAGCACGTAGCCCGAGAGCACCAGGAAGCACGAGACGGAGAAGTGGCCGCCGGAGAAGAAGGTGCGGATGAAAGGGAGAGCGGCGAAGTAGTAATTGCCGTCGTATCCGAACGTGTTCTCCAGCGCGGGAGAGCCATCATAGAAGGCGTGAGCCCACAGCTGGTTGTGCAGGCAATATACCATGAGAGCGGCAAAGCCTCTGATGCCGTCCAGGTAGGCAGTTTTCCGCAGCTTCCGGTGTCCAGCGGATTGCTTGGGGAGAAAGGATGGGCGGAACATGGAAGCCAGCGGCGCGAGCACACCCAACAGTGGTGTGATGGCGGCCACCGCTGGAGCCACGGCCTTTTGCGCAGGAGCGAGGACCTTTGCTACCGGCCCCAGGACTCTCGAGGCATGTTTCCTCGCCACTTGCACGTGTGGATCGATCCGTTCATAGTATTCTCCCGCTCTTGCGCTCGCCTGTGCCGCGAGGTCCTGGATCCTGACCACATTGTCGCTCCGCTGTGTCCTGCTCTGATCTTGCTGCTGCTGCTGTTGTCTGATCTCGTCTTCTTGCGCCAAAAGATTCAGCCGCACGGGCTCCAGATCTCCTGCTTCGAGCTGTGCTTCCTTCATTCTGGCTACTTCTCGTCCATTATCGTGGAAGCCCATCAGAGTAGCGGGTGTGCGGTGAGGATGCCAGTGGGATGATGAGAAAGACTCCCATTGACAGATCGGCAGTCAATGCGTGCGTGCGTGCGTGCGTGAGTGAGTGATAAAGTGAGTGTGAACCAATCTCACCTACTACTCCTTCAAATGACCCCGGCCGCAAGCGAGAGAGAGCATGCACAGCTGAAAGCGACTAGGATAGAACTAGGATATCGCGTCCCAGTCTCGGCGGGCGGCTCTCTGGTACAACCGCAAGTGGGCATAAATCGGCAGACAAGAACACAATCGGCCACACACACACAACACACACATTCACCCGCACACAAAAGTGTAAAAACCGGGCCAGCCGTGCCGTAGAAGAAACTAAGGTACTGAGGAGGTAAGGTTAGTGGAAACTACCTCTTCCAGCGCGAGGCGTAAAAAGGTAAATTTCGATCATGAATAAGGTCAACCTCCAGCCACGTACCAAAGTACAGAATCAGGTCGACGACGATGCTGATTCGCTAGTGTTCACCTCCTCAACGGCCTCGGTGCAACGGGGAATGATCTTCAGAGACGGGTCCTTGCGTGGAGACGATTCTCTTTTTTTTTCCTTTTCTTGTTTGTACAGTTCAAGTTCCTCATCCAACCATACCAGGTACCATACTTAAACTTACCTTAGGTACCAATGGATGTGCGGGGAAATCAATTGGTTTTACCGAGTCTTGAGCCCTATACATTTATGCCATCTCGATCATCTGATGAGCAATACTACCTGTACCTAGGAACGGGAATGCTATAGATCAGAGGAGGTACAGTACAGTACAGTAGTAATCAGAGACTCAGACTCTCTTAGAGGTAGTCTTCTCCTCATACTACAACCCGCAGATTGGGGTACATATATGTATGAACTAAACAGGTAGTCAGTACCGTACCGTACCGTACCTGACCTACACCTACATGTAACTTACCTCTTAGTCGACCCAGCGGTACAGCCTACAGAGACATTTGCGCAAGATTAACATGTACCCCAGACATTATACCTACCAGGTACTCTTCCTGGTCCTTTTGCATCTTCTTCTTTTCTTCTTTCGCTTGCTTCTCCTTCTTCTTCTTCTCCTTCTCCTCCTTCTTCTTCATTATCAATAAACTCCCTATATAAACCACATGATTCTAGAACATGCAAAAGTAAAAAAAACCAAAACAATCCCTGTTACTCACTACTACTCATTCCCTCTCCTCCCATCACGAGAAAACATGAATAATGCAGACCTCCCAACGAGGGGACCAATATGAATGACACATTTGCGACCGAGGTTGCAGATGGTTGCAGTAGTGCGTGTGTCCTGCATGCGGTACCTAGGTAGGTACTAGAGGTACCTCCGATATGTGCAAAGGATGCAGAGGGTTCACACCTATGTAGGTGGTAAAAGGTCGGAGGTAGGGTACATGTACAACAATTCCACAATTAATCCTGCCTTTGCCTCGGTCACTCTGCATCCCAATCCACAGAATGACGGGAGGTGATGATGATGATCGTGGATCATGGATTGTGCCAAGCAAAACTGTGGCTCAGCCTGGTTTTTTTTTTCTTGCCTGTCGTTGCCGTGTCTTCCCCGTCGCCCCCTCCCCCTCCCCCGTTGTGGTTGTGGCAAAGGCAATAATAGGCAATCAAAGAAAAAAGTCGTTCGTCGAATCGTGCTAGAGTCAGCTGGCGCTCATAAAGGAGAGAGAGAGTGCGCGCAGGCAGAGTGGCGGGTTTCATTGGTTGGTTGGGAGATTTAAGCTTTCCCCCGTCAATTGCCAAACTCGCGTCTGGATCCGCCCGTACATCTGCCCTCTCTGGACGCCGCCGCGTCCTACTTTGTCGCACCGATTGTCTATATGCTTCACACTATTAACTCCAGTCTGCCTTTTTGCGCGCGCTCGTGTCCCCTTCAGCATTGCAACGCCTCCACTTTATTCTTCCTTCAATCGCTCCGTCGTCTGGACATGTCTTGTTCGTCCACCACTGCATGAACATCCCTTACCGCCGCCCCTACGAGAAGACGACCACCATCATCACCACCACCCCTTCCTACCCCATTATTGTCATTCATTTACCGCCCGCTGCATCACCGACACGACACGACACCACGCACTCCACTCACTCCACTTCGGGGCACTCATGCGCGTGCCATTGCAGCTGCCTGAGTTGCCCATGTTTGGCCAAGCACGCGCGCGATCGTGGTCGTCGAGCCGCACTCCAGCAGAAAAGCCAGAAGCCACCATCGACAGTAAGATGAAGGTTGCGCCCAAATACAGTCCCAAAGAATATCTGCAAGCGATACCCCAGATTGGCATGCCGAAGCAGCTGCAGAGAACGATACCGGCCGTGCTGGCCCTGTGCCTCCTGGTCTTCTTCCTGTCCGGCTCGCACAGCACCTTTACCCCAGCCTTTTTCGAATCGAGACCCAAGCACTTTCCGCGCAAGATCTGGCAAACCTGGAAAGTTGACCCCCTCAAGTTCGAGGAGCGAGATCACAATGTCGCGCAATCGTGGATTGCAAAGAACCCCGATTACCGATATGAGGTGCTCACCGATCTGAATGACATGGCCTACGTCGAGACACACTTTGGACCAGACGGCCTCGATCGGGAGGATATCGTGTACGTGTACCGTGAGCTCACCGCGCGCATCATCAAGGCCGACTTGCTGCGCTACATGATCATGTACATCGAGGGCGGTGTGTACACAGACATCGACGTTGAGGCACTGCGACCCATCAGCAACTTCATTCCCCCACGATGGAAGGAGGCCGACGTCGACATGGTGGTGGGCATTGAAATCGATCAACCCGAGTTCGACAAGCACCCGGTATTGGGCACCAAATGCAAGTCCTTCTGCCAGTGGACCTTCATGTGTAAACCCAAATTGCCCGTCATGATGAAGCTCATCGAGAATATCATCGTCTGGCTGCGAAGCGTGGCCGTCCAGCAGGGTGTGCCCATCTCGGAGGTGAAGCTGGACTTTGACCAAGTCATCAGCGGCACGGGCCCATCGGCCTTCACCAATGCGATTCTCGACGATATTGAGCAGCGAACGGGCGAGAAGGTGAGCTGGGATGCTTTCCACGATCTGAGCGAGTCCACTCTGGTCGGCGGCGTGCTAGTCCTGACTGTCGAGGCCTTCGCTGCTGGGCAAGGTCACTCCGACTCTGGCACCCACGAGACGAAGCAAGCGCTGGTCAAGCACCACTACCACGCCTCCGGCTGGCCCACCACCCATCCCCGCTTCAACCACCCCATCTTCGGCGAAGTCGAGAAGTGCAACTGGAACCACGAGTGCGTCAAGAAGTGGGACGAGGACACGGCCGCCTTCGAAGCGCTGTCTCCGGAAGATAAGATCAAGCAGGTCGCGCTCAAGGAAGCGGATGACAAGCGGAAAGCGGACGAGGAAGAGCGGAGAAAGGTGGAGGCGGAGGAGCGCAAGAAGAAGGGGCTCCCAGAGCTCAAGTACGATGATAAAGGCCAGGTCATCATCCCGGATGAGGAGAAGAAGGATGAACCCAAGGAGCCGGCGAAGGATCTGCACCGAAGATGAGACGATAATAATGATGAACCAGCATTTTGAATTCCGGTGGCGGTGGTGTTTGGCGAGTGGATGGCAGATCTGGCGACAGTCGTCTTGGGCATTTGCATTTGATCCAGGGAGGGTGTGTCCCCCCTTATTCGAGATGAGGGCGAGCGGGCCGGCGAGAGAGAGAACCTGTTGATATACAAGTAGGAGCCTGCCCACCTACGAGAGCCCCTCTCCAGCTTCAGACAATTGACATAGAGATATTCATTAATTTCCACCCATATAAGTTAGGCGAAGCTGCAGCCTTTTTTTTTCTTCTGAGAGTTGGTACTTGACACTGTCTCCCCACAAGGTTCACTGCTTCCGAAACCCCATCAGTCTCGACACGGCTGCTGAGACACTACGTATGAGGTAGTTACTTGTCTTTTGGTAATATCGCAGGTACATCAACCGCGAGAGAGACTTGGAAGAACGAAGCCGCATTGCCCTTGGAGGCAGCGAGTGAGTGAGTGAGCGATGAGCTTGAGTTCAGAAATGTTACCTAAGGTACTAGGTACTTCGAAAAATGAGTCGGTACAAGTCCTCGTTGTTTGAATGAATGAATGGCTGAGGATGGGAGGAGGGAAGGAGGAAAAAGGTTGGTGAAGAAAGGCTGAATTGAAGCAACTTGGAAGCCACAACCGTAAGGTACCTAGGTACCTTAATGTACAGGTAGATATGTACGGCAAGAACGACCAAGGTACATCATGTTGAGGTGTGGCATCATGTGTTTATTAGGTCCAGCCTGATGATGATGAGAGAAACTGTAAAGGACATACCTACACACACACACCACACTGCGGCAGGAATGATGGATATAAGAGGTGAGGTAAGATCAGGTACATACCTACATGTAGTACATACAGCTCGACTGCGAATCCAACATGAAGGTGAGGTGGGGGGTGATGGACAGACAGACAACATGGGGAAACTTCAATGGTGGGTGGTACAGTTCCATTGTTACATACATGTACCTGACCTAAAACATATAAGTACAGTACCTGGCCTTAGGTAGGTACCTACCTACATGTATCTACCTATATCTATACCTTACCTCCTCATCCTGCTCAGGTACCACCGTAGGTACTTAACGAGGTATGTACCTTATACGGCCACTCTGTAGTGTCCTCCCTCCATACTAAGGTATGTGCCTACCTGACCGAACAACGGTTGGGTTGCTCTTCGACACAGAGATTCCTGCAGCTGTCACTTTTCCGCAGGGTGCCCGTGTGAATTCCGTACGCGAAAAGGACTCGCTCGTTGGAGATGGTCACTATCCCGTCGTTCTATGATTTGCTCGCCTTTTATTCTTCGAGCCACCCTAGTCGGTATGGCGACAGCTTTGCTCTCCGAGCGAGGAACTTTGGGAGAACTTTTCGTCTGTTCCCTTTATTGCCATCTCCCAAGGGACCGTCGAGGTAGGTGTGTGTATAGGTAAGGTAGGTAGTCGTTTCATGATGGTAGTGATTTTCCCCTCCGAACAAAGGCCTCCCACACCACGCGTGTCACACACAACGCAAATATGAATGGCCCTCGCCGCGAGGAAATACTGCCCCAGTTCATTTGCCAACCTGGCCCCAACTCAGCGTGCGACCGCTCCTTGGACTGTCTGCAGCACTTGCACCTCTCTTTTCTGCGGATTGTGGTAGTATTTGGGCTGTGGCGGCAGCTGCTGTCGTCCCTGAGGCAGTGAGAAGGCGGCGCATGTGCAGTGCCCTTGTGAGAAAGAACCACCTGTCTCCAGGTGTCCCGGGAGTCTTCATGAATGAGATCGAGCGATTGTGGGACAACACCAATGTCGTAGGACGTAGCGCATCGGGGTGGGTGGTCAGCTGTATGGGGTCGGTGTGTACAGGATGAGAAGCAGGTAGCAGAGACAATCTGCTCCACTCCAAGCTACATGTGTTGTTTGCAGAAAGATAGAAGTCAGTAAGAGATACCACAAATGTCTTGGCAGTTCGACAACAAAACTGTACCGACAAAGCGCACCAGCTTCTCACACCCAAGCGTAATTCCTCCATATCTGTGGAAAAGACAGGTGCAGGTACTTGCAAAGATGATATGACTCGAAAAGAGCAGCTCGCCTTGTCGTGTGTCTTTTATAGCGAATAGGCTCCGAGAGCAAAAGTGATTGACGTTGCCACAACCCGATCAAAAAGCCGCACAAATGCCAAAAGATTTGGTCCCGCTGCGAGTTGAACGCAGTTCTTTCAATCTTCGGCTCCATGTTTCCATGGGCTAGGCCACTATAGAAGGATTTCTCCACTGTATAGGGGGTCGTACCGGGGGTTGAACGTAATAAACCGCTATACTACGAGACCAGTTTGTGGTATTGGATGACAGAGCAGCGCCTCAAACTCCTTATACATGCTGCATCCAGTGCGAGACCCTCGGGCTACAGCAGGCCCGGGCAACAAGATATTCCGGACCGGTATTCTGGGCGGTTGCGAGACTCGAAGCTGATGTATGGACGTCCTCACGTAGGTATTTCGCCGACACCCAACCGCGACCACGGCAATGCTAGGACGCACCGCACAGTGTCAACATGGACAAAGCAATTGCAGAGAAGAAGATGTCGGCAAGCATAGTCCATGCCAGCGAGAGCAATCAGTGCGATAGCAGTCTTCGCACGCCGGCCATCACCAGCACCACAACATCTCCTCTGCAGGCTCGGCAAACACAACAGCAGACACCACAGAGCCATGGCGGAAAGACTGGGCGGGCAGGAGCCAGGGAAGCAGATCAGGAGCGCCATTCGCGGATGAGAGGCAAGCTCTTGGCCATAGGCACTCCTTCGGGGGAGGCCAGCTATTGCGACGAAGGTGTGAAGGCAAAGCTCAGGCGGGCACTTCGCAGTACCAGCTGCAGCAGACACAAGAGGCACAAACCAGAGGCCCACCAAGGCGGCAAAGTTGATGCCCGTGGACAGGAAGACAATGCGGGTTCTTTGCGAGAAGTTCCAGGAAAATAGCGGTGATCAAGCCAGCAAGCGCAGGAGTGAGGGCAAGTAGCATATGATATGCTGCATAGAGGAAGACTTGCCAGTAATTTCCAGGGTTTTCAGCTCTTGTTGTCACACTCTCTTTATCACCTGATTGGGACTGCTGCTTGTGAGAAGGCACGTGATCGAGCTGGCAGAGCGTGGTCAGGCCTGGATCCACCAAGTAGAGCTCTCACGCAAATCTCGGCCAGCTTGCATTTACTCGAGGAAGATACACATAACGCCTGGCAGGGGGCGAAATGCAAGCGGTCACCCAAGACGCCGACGATGTGTGTGGGATACACATCATGTGACTGATCACATCAGTCTGTTGAGCCTGATTTCTGGAGACCTCCCCTTTTTCAAGCATCTTCCCGCAACTCCAGATGTGAACAGTTGTAATGTAGGACTACTGCAATCCGTACTCTGGTTCGGACCAGCTGCTCCTGCCTGGGACGCGACAAGTCTTTCGCATATGCCATTACGGTTGACTTATCGAACGAGCGGATGACCGAGGCACAATTCGCAGGTCGTAAGCTTCTCTTTACACATGCTTGAGTCAACGCAGGTCCGTTGAGTGGTCAAGCATGAGCTCTTAAAGCGATAGATTGCCATTTCCGTAGGGCATCCTGTCAAACACATGTGCTCCTCACGGCATTCTTCTTCCAGCTTGGGCATGTCGGAGTCATTTCCAGCTCGTATGGGTGGGTGGATTGGTGGGATGCGGTTTCAAGACCCGTTGCTCTTGCGCCACAGCGGATGCGTCCTTTTGATTCAATCCATACAGCCTCGCTAATCTTGTCCTGTCCATCGTCGCCTGTCTTCTCTTCCTGGGCAAGCTTGTAGCGAGGAAGACCACGCTCGCTCTGTGCCCTTCCTAGCCCCGGCGCAGCAGTATGTCACACACAGGTCGTACCCGAATTGCTGAGTCATGGCCGCACTTGAGCCCTCGATGGTCTCGGGGACCTTTTGACGATTCTATTGGACTCGAATTGGGCGACCTCTGCCAAGTGTCGGAGGTAGTGGATCGCTCGCATGTGATGTTCTGGTGGTGGGTTGTTGAGAGAGGTGGTAGGACGGCGGGCGCCATCGGGGCATTACTGCGACCAGGTCACCGCCTGCTCAGCATCAGCTCGACGGCGCCTTCTCGTGCGTCGGCGCAACATGATGGCCGCTTCGCCGTCGTCGTTGACGGGTTGTCAGGTGTCGTCGGTGCTGCACGGGTCGGGATCAGACGTGACTAGGTAGCCTATGGGCCGTCTTGGCGGCCAAGGGGCACTTCTCCTTGTTCGCTAACTACCTCCTAGCTTGCTAGCCCATCGGTTAGCTCGGTCCATCGAAAGATTGATATCTGTGATATGAGAGTAAGAACTCTAGATGTGCAGTAGCCCAAGGCACATCTTGAGATTCCCAAAGGCCCATGGATGTGAGACTGAGAAGTGCACTGCCACTTCTACGGAAGCTTGGGGGGATATTCCCCGCCGTCGTTGAACACTGCCATCACACGCAGCATGCGTCAAGGAGCACCTGAAGACCTGGACCTTCAAGGATCATACATAGCTGACTCCACGCTTTATAGAGAAACCCCGTCCCAAAGGCTTGGACTATGATGAGCCTGGTTCGCGTATCGTCGGGGCGCTGTCCCGAGCGAATGATTTCGCTGGCGAGCGAGGATATTTTCCATCTCTGGCGTCTTCGTCGTCTTCTTAGTACCCTACAAGTCCAAGGATGACCACGCTGAGTCGTCAAAACTACGGAGTTCTTGCTCGATGCTGTGATCTTACTGATGCCTATACGAAGAACTTCTAGGATGGATGGTATTAAGTGGACCCGCGGACCGGGCGAATCGATGAAGGTGCACGGGTACCCGCGGAGAAGCTATACAGTAATCCCCTACCAGACCCATCAGACTCGACGAAGAGTGATAGTGTTATCCCAGAAGAACAAAGGTGTGAAGCAGGACCAGATTGGACCAAGCGACGTCTTCCTCACTCATTGCACTAGAGAGCTAGATCGCCATTATCGATTGTCTGCCTACCCGTGTACTGAACGATGCCCCAGAGGGTTCCAACTCATCACGTTCAGGTCCTACTAATAGTATAACACCAAATCACGCAAACATATGACAACTAAGCTTTGCTGTAACCTTTAAAGTTATTCGCCTGTAATTCGCCCGCAAAGTCCCCAGAGAAACTCCATCGCTCTTATGTGTGAACAGACACGAAATGCAGCAAAGTGGGTACTATCACGAATAGCTTAAGACACGTTTGTCTCGGGGCGTTGCTGCCGCTCCATATAACATGAACTAGTGTACAGGGTCCGCGAGCTCATACATTTCCTTCTCACATACATCATTAGTACAGCACAGGATGTCAGACTCTGACCCGTCACTCCTGACGAGGAGGATTACGAGTTATATACGAGAAGACACCGTCACCGCACCGTATAGACATGGCTAGTTGTTAGGTAAGAAAGGGATATCAGAGAATGAGGAAGAAGTCGAAATCCTCAGGTATGTACATATGTCAAACAACTGCTATGAGAGCATTTGTCATATATCTGAGATCCATTATGTAGTATGTAGTTCTGTCCCCCATAGCACTCAGCAATGGGACAAGAGTTACTGAACATATCCAGCATTCCGGACCAATAGAACTGTTTTGGACTAAAGCCCAAAACACTTCTTATAGCTGACCACAATCTCGGACGTATATGTGTCTCCCTCGTCCGATCGATCAATCGAAAAATAACAAAGAAATTGAGTCTGTCGAGTCTTGCTAGTTCTTCGAATGAAGCCGGAGCAAGTCCGTAACTGTAATCCTCTAGCTCTCTATTGGCTATTATTCTCTACTGTTGGTACTCGCTATAGTTGCTCTGGAAACGATCCGAGTGTATGAGCCTATACGCGGCCAACGATCCGCCGAGATCAATGTTCCTGGTAGGGTGTCATAGGCGGAAGGCCGAACATGTCAGTCAGATGGCGGGAAGTATCGGTCACGTAGAGCGCACGCCAATGCATCGGGACAAGGCTTCTATCGATGGGAGATTCATGCAGTAGGGCCTCGAGATGTGGCCTGATCAAATTTATTCTTTTGTTCGGGCCGTGACTGCGTCTAGGTCTACCACTACATAGGTCGACTCCTCCAACGCGGTCCTGTTGTGCGTCTTGGCTCAACCAGTGGTAATGCAGTCGAGCAACGATGATGGAAAAACAAGCAGATCTGCTACGCTGCTCAGGAAACCACCTTTTCGCGCAACGTACCGAGAAACATCGCGCCCGACACGCCCTGGTCGGCACGATCTTCTACCAGCATCGTCTGTGCCCAAAGACGTAAGCTTGGCTCGCCGTCCTCTCTGATGAGATAGAGCGGCGGCACGGTAATGCTACCACAACCCTTGCCACGATGGTCGCGAGACTTCTCCACGACCGCACGAACGCGCTCGTTCATTTCACTTTCAAGCACAGGCAGAGACGTCTTCCCTTGCTTGAGCTGGTTCTTGTCTTCTGTGCCAAAGACATCATTGATGAGAGCCGGCACAGCATCACGGCCTAGCCAGAGGAACTGCGTCTGGCCGTCGTCGATAAGGTACAGTCCGAATGGAACGATGTTGCCCGAGGTAAGGTTGAGAGGAGGAGGCATGACAATGGCTCCGGTATCGGGGTTTGGTAGGCCAGCATCGTCAGGCATGTCGTGTAATGAGTACATGCGCGGGTAGATGTACTGCATCAAGAGCGGAAGCGGCAATGTCGACAAGAGGCACAATGCCGCACTCCTAAGATCGGTGGGGATCTGAGATGACTTACGAAGACCAAGCTACACATCATGTCAGTGAAACCTACACCATCACTGAAATGTGAAAAGAACTTACATGTTTCATCAGACCAAGGAACAGCATCGGCATTGCGCGCATGTTGGCTGGGAACTGGAGTCCACCGCCACCCATGTTGCCTCCACCGAGCTCCTTCTTATATGTCTGGAGCAATTCGATCATCTTGGCCTGTAAAGCATCACGAGCGGCATCAAGGCCACTGCTCAGGGCTCGCTCCACCGCTTTATGCGCGAAGTAATGTGTGATGGCCTGTTGATCAGCCGAAGCATATACGTCGGCCATGTTCTGAGTGACCGGTATGCTCAGGGTCATGACGCGGATTCTTCGCTCGCCGTTGCACGTCGTGTGAAGAACGCCAACTTGCAGGCATGCAAACGCCTTGGTGATGCTCTCGTCAATCGCGATTTCGACCACATAGGCTTGATCGCGTGGCATAGCGGGAAACGCACAGAGATCACTAGATCTGTTGAAAAAGTTTCCGTAGAAGGCGCTAGGACGAAGTCCAGTTGTGGTTCGTACACGCAGGACAGCTTCGAGGCCAATCTCGGAAGACAAATAGTCGCTGAACTCAGTAGCGAACTTGATCGCATCTTCCGTGCGTGCTGCGTTCCAGGCCGGGTAGAAATATGTCTGACCTCCAGTGTATCTTGGTAGATTACTCAAACTAGCCACATCCTGGTACTGTGCGCTGAATAGGAACATGTCGATAGAAACCTGAGTCTTGCTGCACTCGACCGCAAAGCTCTTGTAGAAGCTGTTTTGTGTTTGCAGTAAGCTGTTCTCCTTCGATGTACCAAGTAGCTTTTTGTCTTCCCGCATATCCAGCTTTCCGAAGCCGACGTTGGGCAAAGTAGCTGAGAGTACGACCATCTTGCCGCCGACGTGGCTGATCAACTTATGACCAGCACGAAGTGCCGAGCCCATGGCGCTGCTGTTACTCTGCGTGTTTGCGAACATGCCTTGTAGCTTCTCGAGGAAGGCCTCGATATTGGCACGGCACTCAGTCAGGTTTACGAGAAGGTCTTCTGGTGTTGGCAGAAATGGCTCGTCCAGGTCGCTGACCACCAGCATCTTCGCATCGTTGTTCTCGCCACCATCCCGAGGAATTTGAAAGTAATGCAGAGAGCCATCGACAGCCATGAATCCTAGTCGCGTGCGGCGATCGGTGTTTGGTATCCGGTCCAGACTCTCAAGAATGCATCGTGCTGCAGTCGCTAATAGCCCACTTGTGACACCTGCGAAGCTGACATCAAATAGGAACAGGTAGATCAGTGGCTGTGGTGCCCGGACCATGTACTCCTGGGGAGCTACGAACTCGCTCACAGCATAGTTGAGCTCGGGTCTCTGCCATCTGTCCACTGATTGCTGCTTCACGCTATCCCAATCGAAGCTTTGAGGCACATCGTTGGTCAGATTGCACATGTTACATCTCCATCGGTGGGAGTGGTCCAAAAAGCTAGCAAAAGGGTTCATATAGGTACGACACCTTCTGCAGCGAGCAATGACTTGATCGTATTGGACCGGGACATCATCCTCGGCGTCGTGTAGGGCTGCATATGGCTGGATGATCAGAGCAAAGGGCAGCTTGCTCTTCTTCAGCAATGAGTTCGTGGCGGGCATGGCATTCAAGGTAGAGCGAACGTATCTGGGCGAGCAGTTCGCATGCGGCGAAGGAGTGACAGATGACTGAAGATTGCGGGTTAGCAGCTTCAAGTGAATGGAGTGCAAGCCTAGAAAACAACTTACGTTTGGTGGCAGGATGATTTGAGGTGGCGGCTGGTCCAGATCGCTAACGTGGAAGGGTGCGCCTTGGGCACTGATATCCACGGGCTGCAATGGGTTCAGTCGCATTTGTACGCCTTGCTGCTGTGGGGGCAGAGGTTGTGGAGGCTGCGCGCCCATGCCCATCTGTCCAAACTGCTGTGTCATTCCCACTACTCCTGGGGGTGCGCCAGGCTGTCCTGGCGTTGGGTAACCTGGCGCGGGTGCTTCGTAGCCACCTTGAGCACCATATGCAGGCTGTTGGAAGCCACCTTGAGGCACTGGGCTTCCCACTCCTGGAGCAGCGCCATATGCAGGTTGTGGAGGCATACCATATTGTGGTTGCTGCGCTTCTGCCGGTTGAGCTTGATAGCCGTATCCTCCATATCCAGCCTGAGGTGCCGGCTGTCCTGTATAAGGGCTACCAGCTGGTGGTGCTCCTGCTGGTGCTGCGTTCCCTCCTGCGCCGAACTCATAAGCCTGACCAGCATATCCGCGCTTTTTCTTCGAAGGACCTGCCGGCGCCGCAGGCTGCTGTCCATAACCCCCGTCCTGCGGATACTGGCCGTCGGTGGGATTGGGCGCGCCGTCGTAAGGTGGTTGTGGGGTCGCCATGATATCGAGTTCACTCCTCTCCCCGCTGGAGCAAGTCACTGCTGGGAGAACAGCAACAGCAACAGATCAGAATGCGTGGTCCGGGGACGAGATACAAGGTAGACGTGGTGGTTCTCGTTGAGCTCGGTGCAGGGAGGCGGATGATGTTTGGAAACAAGGTCTTGGCTTCGTCCAAACCTACAATGTCGCTTCACATTAGTTCCATCGTGCAGCTGAAAGAACGCCGCACAATCAAAGGTACCTGTATGTACATACATGCATTGCAATTCTGTACAGATGAATTCACCACGACATTCTAACGGGTCTCTACTTTCAAAATTACAGTCTCTCAGCATACTCCACTACAAAGCATACGTCTCGCTGGCATGAACCAGAGCTTAGCCACAATTAAATCAATATGGACAGCTGGTATCGTGAGCGGGCAATGACGAAGATAATGCCTCAGGCAGAGATTCATGTGACAAGCATTACAATGGACGAGCCATCTACCAATTCCGAGACTCGGTAGGATCACGCAGGATAAATCGCACCGCGCCTCTCGAGGACAATCTGGGATGAGACTCGGTGTTGAAGCCGCAGCATCGCTGTCAATTCACCGCTCCGCTAATGCCCAACGAGCTTGGTTAGGTACATGTAGTTCATTCGTCCTTGGTCGAGCTCAGGCTGCGGCGTGCCATGGGAAGTACAACCTGAGATCTCTGGTATGTCCAGGATGAATTTCGGGCCTTTGACCATTTGTATGATGACCTATCGATAGTCTGTATATCGAATACAGGGCAGACGAGGTGCTTTCCGGGGTCGTTTTCTCAGATGCGGGCGTAGTGAACGCAGACTGGGCATATTACTCTTGTAACCAGCAAGAGGAAGAAGCACGCGGAGTGAGGGGCGGTCTCGCTGGCGCGAAGACTTGCTGCTGCACAGGCACAGAACAAGGCTCATCTCGAGCTTACAAGTTACAGCCACCGAAAGAAGGCTGCTATGCCAGGATTCAAGTGCGAGGGCCCAGCTCTAGACCACCGTCGATAGCACTGCTGGGTTGCACGAGAGAGGCAGCCATGATGATAACAGCCAGCACAGGCGCCAGACAACGTGTTCGATCGCACTCTGAGAGTACCTCCTATATTGCCGCCTCACGATCCTTGCTCGATGAAGGCCAGCACGTTCGGCATTGCCTCTGCCAACGGCGGCTTTATTCTGACCTCACCTCACTTCCTGTCCAGTAGTACATAGCACATAGCACACCACCGATGCACGAATATGCACGATATCTGGCTGACGCTGTGTAATCAGCACATCCAACTGTCATCTAGGTCTTCTGCAACAGCTCCATTCACTTCGACATGCCAGCAGATTGTGATTCCAATGGGTACTTTTACTTGGATCTGACATGGCGTCGATCTTGTTCTGGATTGTTTGGTCAAGGAAGTGCGTGTCGAAAAAGATGGTGATAGAAGTGCTAGGAGGTAAGCCTGCTAGGTGGCTGGTAGGCTGGCAAGTGGCCGCTGGTCGTTCTGTTCACCCGTCACATGATGATGACCCCAGTGACCCGGCTCTCTCTCGCTCCCACCCCCCCGTACCTCTCTCTCTCTCCAGCCCTTCCTCAGGCCTCGGGTCGACCATCATGGTGTGCGCGACTGTTGCGCGTAAATGGTTTTTCGTTCGATTCATTCACACCCACAGTACGCTCACCGCCCTCATGCCTGCCAATATCATTCGACCTCCCCTTCGCCATGTCCGCCCCTCGAAAAGGGCTTCTGGGTACGACTGTACCTGGCCTGGACAGTACGTTGGTACTTGCCCTTGCATGCGATTGCTCGTCGCGCACGCTAGCCCTAGCTGCATCCTCCATGCAACAGGCCGTTAAGCCGACGATCATCTGCGAATGGTCTTCACAAGACAGTTGCGAAGGGGTACACACTTCCGGAGTCTCGCAGTACAGATGGCAACGTCTTCGCGATAGCCGTTGCCTCCTGTACGCGATGTCGCACTCCTCTGCTGGCGCCGTCCAACTCGCCGCCTCACCGCTATAAGCTGAGGTTTGAAGGAGAAGCTGGATCCTGAACTGGGACGTTTCACCTCTGCGTTGCTTGGCTTTTCCGAAGACCGCTTCCGAGGGCATGCGCTTCTCGGTTGCCGCCTTTGCGGTCGCCACAGCACGTTGCAGAGCACGAGCCGATGAAAGGCATCCCATTCACACTGGGCCCGAAGCTACTACTAGTACCACCTACCTACCTACCTCCCATATCACTCCAGCATGCTGCGCGTGGGACGGGGTGAGACGGTGCGAGTCCACGCGTCTGTGCCTGTTCCTGGTTGTGCCTGTAGTTCACAAGGTTTGGGTGCTAGTTCTAGCGAGGTACACGGAGAACCAAGACATCCCAACCCCGTCCATTACAGCCAAGCGGCGCAGCAGAAGGAAGAGTCATCATTACTCTGCTGGCGTGAGCGGGCTTATCACAGGCTGCGCATCGATGAATGACATCGACATGTTGTCCGACCTCTCCCGGCCAGAGTCACCCGAGCTACCAGGAACACACTGCGAAGAGCGAAGTCTCGTCAGGCATATGTCAGCCTCCTCTGGTTCCACAAGCGAATAATGTGCAGCAGTTCTCAGGCGGATCTGCGTCCAGCAGCTTTGCCCCACTAGGTACAGGTAGAGTAGCGTACAGTACATCGTCCCCCCCTCCACCACTATTGCGTGCAGCGCCATCACCGCTACCGGTCGCGTCGTCTGCTGGCACAATTCTCCCGCGCATCTTGCCGGCCAGCGCCTGCATATTCGCGGCATCTGCCTCTCACCCATCCGCATGTTATGTCGTACTTAGCAGCGCGTAGAGGCGATATCACAGAGCGGTATTGTTTCTTTCCCCCCTCCCCCCCCCCCCTCGATGCTTCGGTGCCTGCGCTCCAACGTCAGACCGTGTGGCTGGTGAAACAGGATCCGGCCAAGTGCAGGACTCAGGAGCACGTCAAGGGTACCTCCTAAGTTACCTCCTACTGTACCTTATCTCACTACTCAGTCGCCAGAGCTTCCAGCCGCGCCCGCCTGCGCTATTCTCATCATCATCTCCTGCGGCTTCCCGAGCGCTCTGCATGTTCACGATTGACGACTAGACGCCCGTTACGGCGCCTTTCCGTTCGAGTCCTTCCCTTGACATCTGTTGGTCGAGCCTTTATGCATACGAACCGTTTACGATTCATCCTTATATTCTCGGCGCAAGCCAGCGATACTGGGGACGACTTTTATCATACCGCACCGAAGGCATAACGAGCGAGCATATGACGATCGATAGAAGGCGCCAGTCGACGGCCTAACGAGACGATAATACTCCCTTGCGCGTTCTCCGCGAGACGCCTGGTGATCGCACCGCTTCAGCCGCTTCAGCGGCAAGCTGTCCACAGACACCGGGATCTTTGTCGCAACACAAATGGCAGCATTCTCTGCTGTCAATGCCAAGCTGCCTGTGCCTGCGTCGGAGGACAGGCAGATGGAAGAGGCAGCGACACCTTCTACTCCGAAGGCTGAGGCGAGCGCGCCCGAGCAATTGGACCGAGATGCGCACGACGGCGAATCGACGCCAAACACGCCTACGAGACATAGCTTTGGTGGGGTTTTGGGGCAAAGACCTCTACCCAACAGCGCGTTGGAAGCGCCTGATACGCCGGGAAAGGCCGAAGGAACGACTGCCGTGAAGAGAGACGCCTCGCACCTGGAAGATGTGGAGATGGGTGATGCAGACAACGGCGAGAATGCAGAAGACGACGGATCAGACGACGAGAGCGTAGATGGCGATGGACAGAGGTCATCGAAGAAGAAAAAGGGACAACGCTTCTTCTGTACCGAGTTTCCGCCTTGTCAGCTCAGCTTCACGCGGAGTGAGCATTTGGCTCGGCACATACGGTAAGTCGCGCGGGTCCTACACATGTAGATGGATGAATGCTAATCAATGCGCAGGAAACATACTGGGGAGCGGCCGTTTCAATGCCACTGTTCGCGTCGATTTTCGCGATTGGACAATCTGCGCCAGCACGCACAGACCGTGCATGTGAACGAAGAGATTCCAGCGGAGTCGCTTGCTGCCACGAGCACGAGATTCCAGCGACAGATCCGGACAGATCGAGTGCGGCCAACTACTAGCCGCTCGCGCGCTTCGACACTTGGAAGCTCTGCGGGCAGCCATCGCGGCCATGGTCGCAATCTTTCTACCTCTAGCATCGGGTCGACAACCTCGAGTCTGGGTGGCGACGATGATTACCGCCGACGACCTCAGCCTTTGGCGATGGCTGGAAGCGATCTGGGTGCTCGAGCACGACTGTCGCTCGAGTCTTACAACACCGTCCATGGAAGTGCTGGCCAGCAGCACATCTACCAGAACCAGTCTTCGAGCGGGTATAGCACACCTACTTCCGCAGCGTATTCCACTGGGGCCCAGAGCCCACGCTTTCCCTCTGGCATGACTTCGCCAGGCTCCGCCCTCTCGAGAAACTCATACTACAACGGCGCACGGCACAGCAGAAGGTTATCCGTTCCATCATCTGCAGCCCATCCATTCCAGGCGCCGCACCTGAGCTACCATCAGCCGCCATACTTCAATGCTCCGCTTTCAGGGACGTCTACAAGCTTTTCTCCCACTAGCAGCAGCTTTGCTAGTCCAACAAGCTCAGTCTTCTCACATGGTCGCCGCGAGTCCGAGAGTGAGATGGAGTACCGAAGGCGGACGTGGCACCCCAGCTCCAACTCGCAGTATGCACAGCGCCCGGCCACAAGCGGTCTGACATATCATCAGACTCCTGATGAACCTCGACCAGCGTTTACTCAACAGCAAGCAGCGAGTCAAATGACCAGACTGCCAGGGATCGAGAGTTTCGACCATGCTCCGCCACCAGGAATACGACCACCACCACCACCACTGCCTGATGCCGCGATGCCTGATGCATCGCCAAGGCCGATGAGTTCGAGCAGGGAGCTGCAGCAAGGTTTGACCAGGCTTGATATCACTGCTGCCAATGCACCCATGGAAGGACATTGGCAGGCACACCAGACACCGCACCCCTCGCAACTGGTGTACCATCAACAAGGCCCACCACACACGGCTCAGTACATCCCGCCCCCCAAACATGTATCGATGCCAGAGCCACCAGTCACCCCACGCAAGGTCAAGCGTAATGCTTGGTATGGTGGTCCGATCACGGCAGGCCAGGCAGTGTCTGGACCTGGTCAGCCCTATGTGATTCACCGCCCTTCGCCTGAGGACTCGGGGAGCAGCGATGGAGTACCAACACCTTCCATCTCGCAGGTCAGTGAATACAACCCAGTGATTGTCAATCCCACTGGGTTGACAGAGTACCCACCACCCGGGACCGCGGTGACCACGGACGAGCACAAGGTATACTACAACCCAAGCTCCCACGTACAACACAAGTCAGATCGTATCCGGACTGACTCCGGCTACCAGCAATATCAGCCTCATGCAAACCAGCCTGCCCAGACCTACGCCTTACAAGCAGGTCACGACCCGCGCTTCCCACCGCAGCACTATGCCCCACCACCGATCAACGAAATGTCGAAGCTAGATGCGCTTGTTGCTGTTGCCACGAGTGAAGGCAATCGCGCTGCGGAGCCCCGATCCTAGGCATCACTGCTCACGACCATGTACGGCAAACTCACGCACACTCATGCACACTTACGCACACTCACACACATACACGGACCACCTACATACTCAATCGCTCACTCGCACTCACCGACGCACACGAAACTTCCTCATTGGCTCGAACAAACCGCGTGGTCACCAGGTGATGCCCTTCTATTTCTTCTAGTACAACGACCATAACGAAGCTACGACTCTACTCTACACTTAGCAACGCCGCACACGAAATGTATGAAATGTGCGAATGAAGCGAACGAACAAACACCATCATTATCTCACGCCTTTTTGATGGAACGATCATGCATTGTGGAAGGTGGAAGGAGGGAGACCCTTCGACACGACATCTACTGCATGATTAGATATTGGAAAGAGATACGAAAGGATGGAAAGATACCCCCTTAGGATGACCGTTTCAGAAATTTGCATATAGCGTTGTGATGGATTTTGGACTTTTCACTCTTGATTCTTGGGTTCTGGGAGACTCATGTGACGACGCACATATGAAGACTTGCTGTTGGGCAGAGCAAAGATGATGGAAGAAGGCACCGCTGGACTTTTGCGTTTCTGATATATTCTTATCATTTTGCGTTCTTGGACCGAAGAACCGTAAATTCTCGAGCAGATGCGATTGGTGTTTTTCCGATAAGTTGATGGTTGAGAGTGACTTCGAAGACTTCGAATGGCTGGAACCAGGCGGAGACGTATTTAAATGCCATTTCATCTCCTATATACAATATATTCTACTGTTGAAACACTTGCCATCTGCTTTGGAAGTACATGTTCTGCCTGCTTCATTACGATAGCGATATAGGTAGGGTCGATATAAATGTGTTAGTCTCCCTAATACATGTATGTGAAGCGTCACGGTCCGATATATAGCTCCAAGTGGATCCACTTGACTTCATCTCACAACTTGCAGACCAAGCTCCCTCCTGCCACTCATATCACCCCACGATACAGAACTCTGGCCATAGAAAAGACAACACCACATAGAAGAGACACCACCACCACTACCACTACTGCGCACACGCCCACCATGGCGCCCGCTTCCACGCTAGTCAACAGAATCAAAGTGCAGCTCAAACTGAGCATCGCACGGACGCGAATGGTACAGCAAAAGGACACAGCCCTCGCAAAGCAGCAACGCCGGGAAATGGCGCAACTCCTCGAAGCCGGCAAGATCGAAAGCGCCAAAATCCGCGTCGAAAACATCATCCGATCCGATCTCAACACCGAACTGCTCGAAATCCTCGAACTCTACTGCGAACTCCTCACTGCCCGCGCGGGGCTCCTCGAAGCGAAAGAGTGCGATCCGGGGCTCGAAGAAGCCGTCAAAAGCATCATCTACTCTGCGCCGAAAATCGAAGGCGTCAAAGAGCTCAGTCTGGTTCGACAATTGCTGGCGGAGAAATATGGGAAAGAATTCACGTTACAGGCTATGGAGAATAGCGATGGGAAAGTTCCGGAGCGCGTCTTGAAGAAAACACGAGTCGAACCTCCCGCTCCTGAACTCGTCGAGGCTTACCTTTCGACTATTGCGGAGGCATATGGGATCGATTATCCCCCCGGGGCGAAAGCTGCGCGCGCAGCGGAAATGTCGGCCCAAAATGAAAACTCCAACGATTCCCCCTCCAACGACGACGACGATGATGACAACCCCACCGACGGCGCCCAAAAAGTCCCCGCAGCATCAGCATCGTCCCTAGTAGAAAATATACCTCTACCAACCGAAGAACTCAGCAAAGCGACTCCTCCGCGAAATTTCGGACCCAAAAGTCCTGTCTCGGTTATGCCGCCTTCGCCTAGTACAGATAATATTCGACCGAGAGTGAATTTTCCTGGTGGAGGCGCGGCGACGACGACGCCGTCGAAGAAGATGGCGGACCTGAAGGGGAACAATAATGGTGCCGCTGCCAAAAAGGATGACAGTGGTGGGGGTGGTGGGCCGGGAGGCAAGATTCCGGATATTGATGAGTTGCAGAAGCGGTTTGCGTCGTTGAAGAGATGAGATGAAGTGAGATGAAGTGAGCTGAAGGTGGGAGGGTTTCAGTCTCATATGAAAGTGTATGACTACAACGAATTGGATGAAGCTATGTGGATTACGATTCATGATTGATCAAACAGGGCGAAGACGATGAAAGATCTGTCACAGACTGGTCATATTGGACTCGAGTGGATTACGTGCATTGCGGTATGTAAAGAGATTACATATCGTGCATGCGATGGTTTCTATCCCATCATCCTCTCCGCATGTCTGTGATGCTCAGTGTGGCCGTGGTGGCATCTATCTGCGGCGCGAACAACATCAATTTGTGCTGGCATAGTCCTCCTGCCGTAGCGTCCGAGGGCCGCAAGGAGCAGACTGGCAATAGGTACTTTCGCGCCGTGCATGGTCGCGAGTTCTCAATCAGGCATGTTGTGTTCTCGTCTCGTATCCCGACGATGCTCTCATGTTTTTTCTGCCTGAAGCGACCCCGACCATTTTGAATCAGCTCATCCGATCCAATTCCAGTAGCAGTCATGACGCTGTGCGGTGGCAACCTTGAAGATCTCCAGCACAGGCAGAACGCGCTCCCAGGGCAGGTCCTTCAGGCTCGTCACCAGCTCAGCGGCTTTACCGACGGCGCACAGTGGGCAACCGCCACAGACGCAAGCAATGCGCTCAGTTTCTTCCTCGTGAAACCACTCCAAGTAATCGAGAACATTGTACCAGTGGAGGGCATCGCTCGCCAACAGGGTTCGCGAGTAGTTGTAGTCCAGAATCTCGTCCACGTTATCGGATCCTGCGACTTCGAGCGCCTTGAGGGCTTGAGTGCGATGAGCGCGCCACATGGAGATGTCGAAATTCGGGAGTTGGAACATGAAGTTGTTCATGATGTAGAACACTGGACTGGCTTCGAATCGAATCCGACGGCAGGTGCAGAGGAGAGCCGGCTGGGCGAAGTTCTCCTTGGTGATGAGTTCTGGTTCTCCTTCGTTGAGCAGCAGAGCAGACTCGTAGATCCGATCGCGCACTGCTAGCGGGACCTCGAGGAGGTAACATCTTCCTTCAGTTGGCACGGCGGGGTCGGAGACTGGTACTGGTGAGGGAGACGCTTCGCGTTGTGCCTGCGCCTGGTTCTGCTTCAGGCGCTTGCGGCTGTTGCGCGGCAGTGGTGGCATCTTGGACGTAGTGGACCTGGTATGGGCGTTAGCTAAGTATTGGCATGCTGTGTGTGCTCGAGTGTCTACTTACTCCGATGTCGAGTCGTGTGTTGATGAATTTCGGAAGTGCTGAAGCTGAGACCAAAGCCTTTATAAGAGAGAGATAACCACGCTAGTGGGTACTCCCACTCTCCTCACCAGAGCACGTCCGTATATGAGCCTGTCTCTGCATGAGACGCGTACAGTGGCAGGAAATGTAGACCAGAATTCAAGCAAAACGATGCACTCGCTGCTCTTCTATCGCATAGCGAAGTGGTCTATCAAACTTGGACGCCCGTGCTGTGGCCCCGTTGTTGCTGTCGCTCAATCAACTCGTCTGCAGCCCGGTACCTGAGACTCTCCGTCCTTCCACGAAGTCCACAGGTGCTGTGTAGTGAGTCTTTCCATAAACGACATAGAACACCACCGATATGATGATCACCGCTACCCACACCAAGGGCGCCCAATTGGCCGTCTCCAGATCAACAGGCAGGTTCGTGGGGAAGCAGCAAAAGATGATGATGAAAGCCGAGTACAGGAACGCGAAGGCATTGATCGCGAGTCCATAGCGCCCGAGTGACCATCGGGCTGGTGGGAGCCCCTCCCCCTTGATGCGTCTGAGGAGGACACAGCCGATGCTGATCATATACGTGCTGAGCAGGCCCAACAACGAGAGCGATACGATGATGTTGAAGGCCAACTCGGAGCCGAGCACTATTAGACTGAGAAGAACCACCACGACAGAGGTGACATACACAGCGTTGAAAGGTACGTTCCACTTGGGGTCCATCTTGCTCTGGAAGCTAGAGAACGGGAGACCTGAAAGACGTCAGTGGTCAAATGGTAGCAGCATGCGTGAGAGGGCAGCTCTACCTTTGTCACGCGCGAATGCAAAGATCTCTCTCGCGCAGGTCGCAAGCGCAGTGATGTTGCCCATATAGATCAGCAGGAAAAGAATGACGTTCAGAGCGATTGACAGGGCAGGACTGCCAGTGTTGTTGAAGAGAAGAAGATAGGGAATATCCGCGTTGAGCTGGTTCTACATCAGTGGTGCCAGAGCCACGTTCAAGTGTACATGAACCTACAGTATCCTCGAGTGGCCCGATGCAGAAGAGCATGGTGACCAGCATACCAATACCGAGCAACACGTTGCCAAAGTAAGACCAGATCATTACTCTCGGAACAGTGAGAGAGGCGTTCTCGACTTCCTCGCTTATGTGGACGACCTTCGACCATGGTGTCAGCTCCACTATCGCGGTTGAAGTGTGTTTGGCTATGCTTACAGAATCGCTACCCAGGTTGCAGTACATGACATACACCTGTGAGATCAGATATGCGGCGCCCATGTTGTTGTATCCTGAGTTATCCTGGAAATCCAGAAACACGTCCGAGGCGGAATTCTTTGGGCAGAGCACCACTAGTGGGATCATGATCACGAAAAATCCGATCACATGTCCGAACAGGCAGAATGTTTCCAGAGACGGCAACACGGGCGCTCCCCATGTGTTGAAGAAGATGGTGATCACCGTGAAAGCTATCATGATGAGCGTATACTGCCATCTTTCGAATGCGTAATCTGGGTTCGTCACATTGATCATGGCTTCAATTTGAGTGGTAACGATAAACGTGCTGCTGGCGACACTGGATAGCCAGCCAAGAGTGCTCATCCAGCCGGAAGCATACGAAAGGATACGCTGATACCGCGGGGGCGCGAACTCGCTCCTGTGATCTTATCAGTAAGATTTCCCCAAGACAGAAAGTGAGAAGACGCTTACACCCAATGATATTGCCCACCTGATTGAAGACATGTAGGTCAGCGGATGGCCGGACATGTGGAACCCTCATCGTCCATCTTACCTGCCGTGGGTGCCATGGATTCCATCTCCGCGAGGGAGAGCACAATCGTGGCGTAACAGGTCACTGTCGTCAAGAAACACCAGAACAGCCCAGCATAGCCACCGTTTGTGAACCCAACAGACAGGCTGACCAAGACGAACTCCCAAGTGGCCATGTACACTGAAACAAAGCCGAGAGCGGAGAGGAAGCTGAAGTTTCGCTTGAACTCTTGTTTCTTCCCAAGTCGCGCCATGTCTCGTTCGTCCGAGAGGGTGTTGCCCCATCGCTGGTCTGCGCTGTCATACTTGTCGTCGATGGGAGAGCCCCCATTTTTTCCGGAGACCTGTATAGTGTTATCGCCTTTTAGATCTATATTGTCGTCAGATGCCCGCTGAAGCGAAGAGCTCATTGTTGCTATTGCTTATATGATATTACTGTGGCGAGGAAGAATGCAGAAAAAGAAGTAGAGGACGAGGACGAGAGGACGGTGGCTGCAGTTCATTGTTCTTCGCTAGAACTGCCCAGTACCACTATAGTAGCTCGTGGGGCTCCCGTCGCAGCCCCCTCGCATAAGACCGCAAACCGCTGTGACATTCCTTTCAAAGGAATTGAGTTCGCACGAGCTTATGATTGGTTGTTGTGCTAAACGACGGCCGATAGCACACATACCGTTGAGTAATTGTAATATGTCTTAACATTCTCCTGTCTCCCACTTTCTACCTACGAGCCTTTTCTCAAAGATATACCTCGACAGACGGCAGGTCAAGCGAGGTTCCGAAGGTACGAGTGAGGTTATGAGAAGTAGAATAAGGCCGAGAACGAGCAGAAGATTAGGAGAAGGAGAAGAGGTTAGAAGACTGTCGCGGCCAAGACTCATGACATTTAGGCTAAATTGAACTGGCAATTTGGTGTACCTAAGTACCGTAGGCTTTTCTTCTGGCATCAAGTTTGTAGAGTTCGTGGTCTTGCAGACTTGCAGCAGCATCATCTACTCGGATATCTCTACGGTTGCAAAACATCGCCATGGGTTGGCTGTCTTGGCGCAGAGCTTTGTAGTCTTTGCCATTGCTAAGCGATTGCTGCATATGCGAAACAAACGACAATAGGTGTTGTTGATGCAACCAACAGGATGAGCCCAGAACGCGTCGTATAATTTCGTCCTTGATAATTTACACTGCAAGTATGCCGAGAATGGACGCGACTGGGCAAGGCAGTCCGGCGCCTACGCGTTTCCTTGCGCTGGGAGGTGTATGGCTCGATGAGATCCAAAAGGGAGGCAGAACATTGCACGAGAATGTGTTAGGAGGTTCTGTGACATTTGGTGAGCGCGCGCAGTCTGAAAGGACTCTGTCAATGCTGATGAAGATAGCGACACTCGGAGCACGGCTCTTCACGCCCGTGGACCCCAGCAGTATACGCATGTTGATGGTCAAAGGCAGAGACTTTCCCGCTCAAGTCCTGGACACTTTGCGAGACTGGCAAGTCAGCCTTTCTATATTGGCACGTGGCGACGATGTAGCTGCGGCGAGAGGCATTTTGCACTATGGACAGGATGAGAGCGGTATGGATTCACGTCTTTTCGCTCGAACACGTCTATGTAGACGATCAATATTATGCTGACAGAGCTATCAACAATCAGACAGATACTACCAACGCCTGACCGCACCTCTGAATTCGAGTGTGGATGATGTCGAGCAGTTGGATCTTCTTCACGCCAGAAGCTTCCACTTCTTCGACATTCCAGCTACGCTAAGGGTATCTACGAGCAGAATACGTGAGGCAAGACGGCAACAATACAGGACCAGTCCCGGCGATCAAGCACCGCTTATCATATGGGAGCCTCAAGCAAAATCTTGTAGTCCCGAGACGCTCGAAGAGCATTTGTTAGCAGTCGCAGGCATCGATGTGTTCTCTCCTAACCACATGGAGCTCGCCAGCTTCTTCGAAGCCGAGCATGATGGCGACTTCGATCGAGATCGTGTTGAGCAACAAGCGAAAGTGTTCATTGAGAGCGGCATTGGTGCTGGCACAGGATGTGTAGTGGTAAGATGCGCCGAGCATGGCGCGGTGATCATGTCGAGGTGAATGCTATCATCAATCACGACTTCATCTCGTGGCAAAAGTATCTGACGCTCAGCAGGCTCATCGTACCGACATGGCTACCAGCCTATCACAGGCCGGGCTCTGGTAAAGTGGTGAACTCAACGGGTGCTGGGAATGCCTTCATGGGTGCGTTCGCGATCGGATACCAAGACACTGGGAGCTACATTGAGGCTGCCAAGTATGGCGCTGTCGGGGCTTCGCTTGTGGTCGAGCAGGTTGGAACGCCTATACTAGCCGGCCAGGGACCTCACGAGCTGTGGAACGGAGCCAGCGTCCGCGGTCGCTTGGAAGAATACTCGGTCAGGTGTGTGACATCTGAGTGAAGCGTCCCGAACTCAAGTGGAGGCGAGCTCAAGTAAGTGTCAAGTTTTTTCCTGTTATGAATGCTACTGTGATTGTGGCTACGGCTACGATGACCATATCAATCGATATTGGGAGATCTGCTATAAATCGATGTGTACCTTACCTTATAGGTAAGGTATGTCTAGATGTTCAGTGGCTCTGTTGAACAATACCTGATATTGACCAAGGCAACTGTGGCGGGCGAATGAGGAATGAGACACGTGCTGTCTCGCAGGATTCGCCGAGCTGCGCCTCTCACACCTAACACACCACCTCCAGCAGACAACAACAACAACAACAACAACAACAACAACTTCAGGTACCTGTAGATACCAACAACGACATGCAGGACATACACTTCATCGCATCCCTCCGTCGTTGATAGAAGCTGTTTTGGCGCGTCATGGAAGCCGTGCCGCCGTCATACGCATCCGCGACCGCGATTGATATCTGGCATATCATTGCGCCCTACATTCCCTCCGCCGATCTATGCTCTGCATTACTGGTCTGCAGCAGATGGCACGCTACGTTCGCGCCTCACCTCTGGGGCAACCCGGCGAGTCACTTTGGTGTCGAGAACGATGCAGTCTACGTGGCTCTCACGCGCTTCAGGAAGACTCTTCAAACTGCACGACTCTTCGTGCGGTCTTTGACCCACACCATGCATCTCCCTCCGGCACACGCTGAGCTATACAACGGACCTCATTCGCACTGGCTTCGTGATATAATAGCCAGACTACCAAATTTGCAATCGTTGATCGTGCGGGGATTGCCGTTCTTCGACTATGCAGCACTGCAAGCTCTGGTACTGATGCAAAGCAAGTCTGAGGAAAGGTATGACCTGCCGACTGGTGTCATAGAGCTACCTGCATCTAGGGGGCATTTCTATCAGCGCCCGCGGTCTCCCGTTGACAGGATACCATCCTTCAGCCTACGTTTACTGGATGCATCAAGGTGTCCGAACGTGACCTCAACTTGCCTAGCAGCTGCAATCAGCAGGTTCGAGGGCCTGTTATATCTCGACCTGTCCTTCTCGTATCCTGCACGGGATCCTGCTGTGCTCACAGTACTGGCCAAGCTTGCTGGACTGCAGGTGCTAAAGCTTCGTGGAGTGAGCTTGAAGGACGACAGCATAGAGGTTCTTGCCAGCTCAATTGGTTTGCGAGTAAGAAGTCTTGATATTAGAGACAACCAGGTGACAGATCGGGGAGTCAGAATATTGCTAGACTACTGTTTCGCAAGACAAACTGCACACACCGAGGCAGCTCCAACGGTTATGTTTCAACACTCACCAAACTTGCTGCCTTATTTGGGATCAGAAATGCTCGACATATACCAAGGAGAGGATTTCGAGGCATACTTACGCAATGCGTTCACGGACCGCTTCGTCAGCAGACTAGCTATTGAGGATGCTCCATCTGGGGGCATTACGCACCTGTATATCGCTCGAAACGCTTTAACTGTGGAAGGTATCTCTGGACTTGTGCGATCGGGGCGGCTTCACGTTCTGGACGTAGGTTCTGTGGCTGGCGCCAAGTTTCGACAGCACTTGAATTTTCCAGAAGAGTGCTACTCAGATTCGACAGTCCCTGGCGCTGAGAAGCTCGCTCCAGTCCTTGCAGCCCACGCTGCAGACTGCCTGACGTTCCTAAGGATAGATCACAGCTTGATCACTAAAGAAACCCCGCGAACGAGTGCGTTTGAAGCGATTGTGCATGACCGCGTTGAGCTTGCCGATACAGCAATGCCTCTAATACCTAGACATGCAGCAGAGCTTGATGGCAGCTCTGTCCGGCCAGAAGCATTCGAGCTGGCCGCAGATGAGCAGCCACCCCAGTATGAGCTTGAGGGCCAGCCAGTGCCATTCGTCGGTTCGCCAGCCGTCGATGACACATATAAGGTCGATGCTGTCGAAGATATCCTCGAAAGTGCTTCAGAAGCGAGACGAGATAGTGATTTGGCGCCAGAAGTTGTGAACACCATCTCAAGGAGCACACTTTACCGCACACATCTCAATCCTGGGTCTGCTTTCGGTGAAGACACGATGATTACGACGGCAAACGGACTTGCTACTGCTGTCTCTTCAGTTGGAAGTCCTGCTGTCACGCCGCCACGTACACCCAGGTCACGGACATACTCGTCCATGAACAGCGAGCGACAGGCCAGACTGCGTGCACAAATGGCTGCTGGGCATAGTCTTCATCCGGCCATGCTTCCCCACCTGACTACGCTCGTTCTGACCAACCTTCCTCAATCCTCGTCAAACCCGGCTATCGCTGATCGAATCATTCGCTTCGTCAAAAGGTGTGCAGAAGAGACTGCTCATGCGAGAAGTCAGGCGCTGCTCGATTATTCGTTGCCTCCTGGGCGCAAGGGTCACATGTCTGCACTGAATCAGTCAGCGAACAAGATCTTCGCTTCGAAGAGACTGGTGCTAGAAGTTGCACCAGAGGACGGGGAACGCAGCAGAAAGGCTAGCCCGTGGCAGCACCAGGAGACGAGATCCATGACCAATGATCGAGATAGTGAAGCTCTGTGGGATGCTGCTGCTACCGACTTCAGCTTCTTTGGAGAAGAGGAGAATATGTTCCCGACTATCGAAGCAGGGCTGCCGACCTACAATGTTGCATCTGAGAAAGAGGTGGATTGTGGTCAAGCAGGAGAAGAACGTGCCAGTTCTCAACCTTTATCTGGAATGATCAGCATCGACACTATTGCTGCCCTTTCCAGTTTTCGAAAAGAGCGTAAGTTGGCTCACAACCGAAAGCTTGCCGCTGGCGCGCCACGTGCTGAGACGGAAGGCTTTTGGGATGGTGTCATCCAAGTGGTGCGCTCTCATGCGAACATGCGGAGCGATGAAGAGCTAGACTACTACGGCAACAGATTCACCAACAACTATTTATATCGATAAACTGGACAATTATTTCACATGACTGGCGACGCTTTGGCGACCAAAACTGCATGAGCGCGGTCCGGTTTCCTTCTATCCATCGTATGCTAGACGCTCTTCACATCCTCCCGACTTTCCTGAGCCGTGGTCGCGCTACGTTCGTATCTAACGTAGAACAGGATCGGATCTGGAGCGATTTTCTGGTTAGATGTGTTCCACTCCAGTCTAGAATGCTGCCGTCGCCTCCACTACTCACTGTGAATCTGTGAGACATAGCACCACCACGACTACCACTCCGCAGGGATATGCACGACCTTCTCCAGACGCGTGCACTCTGTGGCATCATTTGATACGCGTCTAATCTTCGGATCCCATGCTTATCGAGACGGCGCTATGTCCGACGCCGGGTCAATTCCGTGGCCTGCAGCGTAGAGCGAAGCCAGCGCTTGGCACTACTGTCGAAGTATCCACGATACGACAATACTACACTGCATGATCTGCGTCCGTCTGGCATTGTTATTGGAGTCGTCGTCTTCGCGCAACGGATTCGGGTTGACTGGAGCACTACTAGTCTTCTTCTAACAGCCCTCCACACAATGAAGCTGACTGCTGCTGCTGGTACCGTATTGGCAACGTGCCACTTTCGCTCCAGAATCCAGTTGGCTCTCGCTTGCTGATCACTCTAGCGGATCGCTGTAGTGGCATCATGGGAACTGGTATGCGTGAACACAATCTGGTTGTGGTTGTTTTTGTCGTGACAGTGACACACCTGCCACGAAACAAGAAATTGGTATGATATGATATGTTGAATGTATAAAGAGGCTACGCATGCCGGTTGTTCCTCGAAACCATCCACCACCACGACATCGAACCAACCAGAACATCACATCCAAACAAACCCAACCAATCTTACCAATCTTTCACCATGAAGTCCGCTATTGCAGTCTTGGCGGTTGTCGCCGCTACCATCAGCTCGGTTTCGGCTTTTGTACGTTTTCTTTTTTGGCTTCCTTTCCTTTCCTTCCCTTTTCCTGCCCATCCCTCCTCCCCCTCCTCATCATCAAGCCTCCTGTACCTACCTACCTGATATTACCTTACCTCACATCACATCACCTCACTCTAACCTTCCCCAAACTAAACTGACCGCCTCCTCCTCACTCAAATAGACCTGCAGACAATCTCAACCCGGTACCTCAACTTGGGCCGGCTACTGTGTTCCCAGCGACGAGGAGAGAAACGGAGGTTGGTTGACGCAGTACTGCTCAGGAGTAAGTTTTTTGTTTTTCTCTCTCTCCCTCCCCCCTCTCCATCCTACCTCCTCGTACCTACGAGTAGGTATAATAGAAGTAGACTGTGTGTTGGGAGGATTTTTTTTTTCTTGTCCTTTTTTCTTGTCGACAAACTTGATAATGGAAAATTAATTTTTGCTCGCGCGCTATTAGGGTAACCCTTGCAAGGTAGAGGGAACTCCTTGCCAGGTTGACAAGTGGGATTACCACGGAGTTTCGTTGTCTACTTGCAGTTAGATATTTTGATACCTACCTACCTACCTACCTACCTTAGGGCTTTGGGGGGTGAGATGGAGGAGGAGGAGGAGGAGGAGGATGGTGTGTAGGAATTGATGATGAGGGAATGAGTGTTTATGATATGGGCATGCAATTGTGCGAGTAGTCCAGTTTTTGTTAGGTGTTAGGGCTAGGGCGACCTACTATCGACTTTTCTAGTCAATAGTGGTATATATATCAATATTGATTGGGTTACATGTCTACGCCAATGAAAGGTTACTGCTGTCTCCATTGTGGTGTTGATGTGGGAGGTAAGGGACTGTTTTTTGATGATGTACCTATATCTAAGGTAGGTACACACTCTCCACATGGCAATGCAGGTAGAGAAAGATTGTGGAATAGGTAATTTATCGCTCGCCATCGCGTAAATACAAGAAGCGCTGATAACGCGGATACGTCCAGCGCCTACAAGCTTTACCCCAGATCATCATCGGGATAGTCGTGAGATGGAAAACCAACGAGAGGACTCCAATAGCAATAAAAGTGCCTGCTAATCCGCTCGCGTCGATCCAGTAGCTCGTCACAAACGTGAAAACGCATGCGAGTGTGTTATTAATAACAGCGACGCCCACCATGCCTTCGAGGACCATTTCCGGGTAAGCGTCCATGAGATATGCCATGGAGATGTCGCCTGCGCAACCAAAGCCGAATCCGGTCATAGCAAGTCCGATATAAGGTCCGGGCCAGTTCCAACCCTTGGAGGATCCGATGCCGAAGAGCATAAGGCCGGCGGGATTGATGATGGCGGAAAGGTACATGAGCCAAAGGCGATCTTCGGCTTCAGAGACGCCTCCGCGTCGCTTTGCCATCCATTTTACGAAGATGTCGGAGAACCAACCACCGTAGATACAGCCGATGGTTGCGCCGATGAGGGTGGGTACGTTCATAATTGCTACGGCCTGGTTGGTGTAGAACCATGGAGCTTCATAATAATTGTCCTCTTCCTGGAAGTGGTGGGGACGTGAAATCAGCAAATGTCTCTCCAGCACGTTGGGGGGCTACTGTGTTCAGTGGACACTTACGACAGTCAGATAAAAAGTAAGCCATGCATCTTGGGCTCCCCACTGTAGGCCAGAGTAAATGACAGCCGGGAAAGCAAAGACTCGAAGAGTATGGAATAGACGGCGAAAGTACTGCTTGAAACCCAGACCAATCATGTTGGGCGCTGGAGTAATGACTGCGATACGCTCTCTGTATGACTTCTTGCGATCAGCGCCCATCTGTGTGCTGTCATTGGAAGCAAGACAGTCGATTGGCTCGGGGGTGTCTGGTGCTTTCTTGTCGTCTGCAAGTGTGACGATAGCTGACCCGCCAGGCTGCCGGCCAAGGACGGCTTCACGATGGAAGGACGTCTCCTCCAAGCCGAAGAAGAACACGAGCAAAGTGCACCCGCACACAATCGCGCCTGTCCAACCAATCCATCTCCAACTTTCTATGGCAATATATCCTGCGATCAATGGACCTAGGAAAGTCCCGACCGACGTCGCCCAGATGTATATACCAAGAACCGAGCCTCTCTGGTGCTGGAAGAATAGATCGGACAGTGAAAGTTGCGCCAATGCCTCTGCGCAACTCTCAGACGCTCCAACAAACATTTGGTTCCAGATGGAGTCTTGTACGTTTTGTATGCGAGCGAACCAGATAGAGCCTACGAGACCGAAGGTCAAGCAGATCAAATATTGAATGCGACGGCCATATAGCCATGGCATAGGAGAAGCTAGCAGCGCCCAGTAGCCAATCGAGGCGAAGAGTACTCCCGCAGCCGTGTTGGCAACATCATATGATATGTTGAGCTCTTCCAGCAGACCGTCAGCGGCGGCACCGGCGTCATTAGAGATGGCGGCAGTGAGGGCCGTGACATACAGCACCAACGCCGCATGCCAGTACTTCCGTAAAGGCGACCAGTTCATAGGATCGTTGGGGCTATTCGTCGGGGGTGGTGTCAAAATGAGCTCCTGGTCATGAAGATCGCCAGAGTCGCCGCGAACGAACATCTGGATGGTCCCGGGCAGCATCTGTCCATCTGGGTCGGCCATGTTGCAGTTACGGGGCACTTTGATGCCCACAGTGTCTGAGGTTGGGGAAGTCTTCACTTGAACAAAGTTCGCTGGTGTCCCGCTGCGGTGCGCTTGGTCGTGCTGCTGTCAGCGGGAGTGCGAGTGCATGGCGACGTGTTCTAATTAATGGCGTCGACGGTGACCTCCCGGGTGCGAGCAGCAGCGTGCATGTTCTGGGTGTTGGTAATAATACAAGGGGTGTTTCTCTGGGATGCAATACAAAGTCTCTGCAGTCGACCAGGAGCGGAATATCGGGTGTGTGTTGTTTGCTTATCAGATAGCGTGTGGGAGGGTGGAGGTAGGTAGTATAGCCTACGGGTGGGAAGTTCGATGCGACGACGATCTCGAGGCGAGGCCGCCCGAGACTGAGCCCGAGTGGCGTTTCTCCAGAATAATTGCGCCGTAACGGTGTCTTGCGAAAGGATATCCCTGTTGCAATGTTGCTTACACACACCCCCCGAAGTGTGTTCAACCTCTCAGCGAATCCTGAGGCCCTGCCAGTGTCGTCACTGTCGTGACTGTCGTTCAGGGCTGTTCTGGCAAATAAAACCCTCGAAAACAGAAATGGCAAAGCCGCGAGAGTGATGTTAGATCTGCAGGTACTGTACAGTGTACACGGGAATCGTTCACACGATATTTCTAGGTCCATGATGGGACTGTCTGGGCAGAGACTATCTTTTTCTGCCTTTCAACCCAGAGCAATGCTAAAACTCCATCTCCTATGCAAATGTACAAATCCCCCAGCGCCACGCTTGCTGAACCCAGAGCAGATGCGGAAGCGATACGAGATGAACACAAAGGTCCTCAAACAAGCAATAGTGCACTCACGCAATTCTCAAAACTCCAGCGCACCGAGACCAACCCTCATGTTCTCTACCGTCTTGACTCCGACGCCTTTCAGCTTCCCAAGCTGTCCCAAATTGGTGACACTATCGTCCAAATCGCAAAGACAGTTCACAATGGCTTCGGCCTTTTTCGCCCCGACTCCCTTCAGGAGCTTGATCTGGCTGACATCTTTCGTGTTAATAATGCTGAGTAACTGCTTTGTCCTCGGAGTTTGAGACAAAAGCGAAGCGGCTAATTCGTCTTCAGAGTCGTTGTCGTCGGGGACAGATGAATATTTCGCAGGCTCAACATGGCGCGGAGGCGGTACCAGCGCGCGATCTGTTGGCTTTGAACGCTGCCTAATCTTTGTTCTGGGCCGGTACGCGAACTCATCATCTTCCTCTTCGTACTGCTCGTCGGCGTGCACATCATCCTGCTCTTCGTGGTAGCTTTCGTCCTCATCTTCGGCATATCGACTTCGTCTCGTGACTGGCGCCGGGCTGAATCGCTGAGCCATCTTCTCTGCAGTCCTGGCAGCAATCCTCTCTTGCAAAGCCGCCAGCTTACGTGCCAACTTTTCGTTTCCAGGAAAGTAGGGAAGTGCTAACTGGTACATCTTCACAGCGCTAGCGTCCTCTCCCCGCACCTGGTGCTGCTTTGCCATCAGCAAAAATTGAAGCCCCTCTGCGCGCTCTGTTTCTTGGCCCTCGACACGTTTCTCGAGTGCGTCTAGCCGCTTCTGTACTTCATCCGAGATGGGTTCCTGAGTGGTGACTGAGAGGTTCTGATCAACTCGACCAGCTAGCGCTTCTGCGACTTTACGTTCGATAAGTGCTTCAATGCTATCGCTTGTCATGGAGGACTGCAGCGGTCGGGACGCATTATTCGTCTTGATCGACTTGGACGGCCTGCTCAGAGCGTTCATCGCCTCGCTACTAGCGACTCGTTTTGGCGACTTGATTCCTGGGAGGACTGTTCTAGAAGAGGCCGTGTTGGCGAGGTTCGCAGGTTTCGTCTTCACGGGCTTGTCTGCAAAGACTGCAAATTGTTTGACCGGCTTAGGCACATTCGATACATCATTGAGCGCACTACTTTGGGAGAGCAGCTTGGGTCGTAGTGGCTGTCGATTCATGGCGGGTCCAGAAGACAAGGCCATCTTCACGTCCTTGCCTTTCCCCTCCTTGAAAAATGGTTGGTTCTCAATCTCGTTGACTTCGATCTTTTTGGTGCGATTTGCGAAGTTGAGACTGCTCAAGGTGTCGAGGTGGTAGCTCCTAACTGGGGCCAGGTTCAATATCATGATAGTGAGGCCATTGTTTTGCCCCAGAGCAAGTATACGAGTCATCTTTGACTCTCTGTACGGCACACGCGACTTTTTCTGTGAGATTGCTTCTACACAGGACGCCAATACGAATAAGCTTTTATTGATGGCCGAGGACTCCACGAGACGCTCCTTGTTGTTGTCCGTTCGCCGGTTATCCTCTGATCCGGCAAGATCAATACATGATGCAGTGCTCACTCGCAGCTCTTCTCCCGTTGCTTGCGTGACCTTGACGCACAGAATAGCATGGGATCTGGAAGAGTGCGCGTTCAGCTTGGTAGCTGAAGTCGATCGATTCAGGTTCGCTTCGTCGTATAGGTTCTCAAACTCTTTCAAGCTCGTGCATGGTCGTTCTGTCAAGCCGACAATGACGGCTTTCCCTTTGGACGTGTCTCTGATGGGCAGTCCGGCTATCGTTCGTTTTTCCGGAGGCTCGAAGAGGTCGAAGACGCGGTCATTGTAGATCTCGTAATAGCTCATGTGCACCTCGACCTGCGTCTCGCCCGCACTGTCCTTTTCCACCTTGCGCGCTCGGCGGTAGATGCTAGATAGCAGTCGCGGAATGACGCCTCGATCCGCCATACTCTTTCCACCTCGCATGGTGTGTGTTTTTCCCGTCCCTGTGACGCCATATGCGAAGAGCGTGACATCGAAGCCCTTGAACAGGTGCTTGACGGTCGGCGAGACTTCCTTTTCGAAAATGTCCTGCTGCGTGGCGTGTCGTCCGTAGACCGACGAGAAGTCGAAGGTGAACAGCTCCGACTCTTTTCGCGGATTCGGTATCCGGACTATCGACTCGTGGTCGCCCGTCTCGCCTGGAGCCTTCGCCGCGTCGACAATGACATCCTTCTCGATTTCCTTCGCGAGTAGAGGGCGGATCCGTGCCACTACTCTCACTGACATGTTGTTAGTATGCCGCTGAAAGATACCAGAGTCACACTCAGGTGCTGCGGCTTCAGGCGTGAGAGAGAGAGGCGAGAGAAGAGCTCTAGGGAGGTGAGTTTGATTATTTGATACGCGCTAGTATTGATTCCAATCACGGAAGGAGCATTATTACTGGTTTCCGAAGCAACCAACAATCTTGGCATCATTGTTCCCCTTCACATCTCCAACCTCATACCACTCCCGTCTTCATTCACTTGGATTTCTTGACTTCTACATCATCCACCGACGGAGTCACCATCGACACTTCATGCGATTTATAGGAACGTCTTGCTGCAGTCATCGGCGAGAACAAGTAGTACGACCAGGCCATCGGCTCGAATTGTCTGAGCTTTCAATCTGGCGCCAGCCTCGCCAATGAGGACGCAGCATTCATGGCCAACGAAAGAATTGTGAGACTTCACTTCTGGCTACTTCAAGGACAGACAACCTGTAGACGCGTTCAACACGCGCAGATCTCGCACAGTTCCTTCCGCGACCTTGTCTCTCGCTGTCCAGCATCTCCGATATTGCACCGCTCTGGCAGCGCGAGCGCGATCCACATACGTAAGGCAGAGTCTGTGGGACCGTACCACGGTGGTATCATTTCAGGCGCTTCTATTCTTTATATCTCTTTTCAGCACCATGTCTAACTCTCCCTACGTCTCTCGTTGTGCGATTTCCTTCGTTTTGTTTACTGCTGAAGCCGGTCTTCGCATCCTAATCACTAATAGACATCCTTCCTCTGGTAGCAAATAGATAGAAGAGCACTGAAAATGCTTGGAGCACGCCATATCCTCCTTCTGCTACTATCTGGGCCTGCAAGAACAACCGCTGGGACTCTAATGCCACGCTGTGCAAACACCAGCTCCAAAGCGATCTCATCAGCTGGCGCCTCTACGAGAACAACGGATCCTCAATTCGCAGGAGCGAGCGCAACAGCAAAGCTTCCTGTCGTTATTACCGAGTATAGAAGCGCTGCTCCAAGCGCAGACTCGGCATGTAGCCCTTCGCGAAGTACAGATGTGAATGGGGAGTGCGGAACATCGACGAAGACCACAAACACACCCCCAGTCTATTTCAGCTATGCGCCTGAGAATGTGTCGACTAGGTCTCCAACGAGTACCACCCTTGCGAAGTCCGCGTCTGATCAGAGAACGCCCCTTGGTACAACCACGTCGTCCGCGCAAAGCAGTTCCAGCGCGTCTACTATCATGTCAGCACAATACAGCTATGCTTCCCACGAACCAACATCGGATAACGTGCCTATTACGAGTACATCTTCTACCATATCTGCCCCGATTGCCACAACGGTGCTACTCAGCACAACTTTCGTGACACGCTATACGACTGTATATCGCAGTATGCCGGATACAAGAACGGAAAGCAAACTTATGTCAAGCTCGCTGCCTCAGAGAAGCCCTACGTCAGATTTGAAGAGCACGACAAGTACAATCGTAGCCACCACAACATCTCCTGCACAGAGTCCAAGCAGGTCTAGTACGGTGGAAAGTCTTCCGACAGAGACAGGATTGAGCGCTACTACGACAGAAAGCAGTCGTGCCGTGACGATTCCCACGATAGCAACGACATCATCAGGAATCGACGCCTACACCTACGCTCCCGGAGGGACGATATCGCCCTCCTTTTCCTCCACCAGTACGACGTCGACGGCCTCGACAACATCAGAGACTGCATTTACCTCAAGCAGGACAAGCTCCTCTTCAAGCCGACCTTATTCTTCGCCAAAGGGCGGGATCACAATCATCCCAATTGACCCCAACGTTTCTATTGTCACTGTCACGATTACGGATGCAGGCCTTCACCAAACAGCCACAGAGACTGGCGCCAGGATCACGGTCACGGTGACCTCCGGATGATGTGGTCGTGGTTATGCATGGAAGGATCAATTGTGCACATACAGGTGTTGGAAAGCAGTGGCATGGCGCAGCGGTGAAATGCAATTTCACTATGGGGGATCAGGGCTGTCCGCGGCAATGAGATGCTCAGACTCCATTAATACAGATTATCACGAAAAGGCCCAAACAACGGTATCCAGGATGGTTGTCACTCGAAGGGACGCTATGCAGTCGCACTTCAACATGTCTACATGATTATTGCTTGTCTGAATAAATTGTCGTATCGTGTTCTTGGCACTTGCAAGTAAAACATGCTCTCCATCCTAGGGCTCCGTGATCCATATGCCAGGAGTCCCAGGACTGTGATGCTCTTCTGACACTGACTGACAGGGTCTCAGATTTAGCTTGTAAAGCACAAACCAGGATAATATCAGATTCCATCCGAGACTTGTTCTGTTATCAGTCCTTCCTGTGCGCAAGCTCCTTCTCGGGATGTGTTTCAACCTGAGTCCCAGGAGCCCAGTCTTTCATGGGGCTATATATGGACCATGGAAAAGCATGTTTCTCCCAGGAGAGACGAAGAGTTAGGACTCCAGCACATCTCGTGGTCGATGTGCACGGCGCCACGGCCGTGCTGTGTCCGTGGTCAATGCTCCTTCTTCCTGGAGAACATGCCACTTGACCCGCACGTGGGATGTGTGCAATCGCGCATCCTCAAGGGTGGAGCAGCAAGTGAGGTACAGTAGAGGTAAGGTACCTCCTTACCTACCTACCTACCTACCTTGGCATACGTGGGCGTCTGTATACATCTCTACATGTACCTACAGGGTGATGCTATGTAAATACAGAAGAGCTGTACCCTTCCATAGGGCAAATTCAACTACATTCCATGGACTTTCGCACACCAACTTAAGGATTTCGTTACTAAACGAGACGCGCAGTCTTTCAGCTTGCCTATACCTCCTACCAGAGAATTAGACATGCAGATGAACGATGAACTGAAGACCTATGGTCCGGCGGGCGGCAGTTGGGAACTAGACGAGCGCTTATTTGCGCGGCATGACGCTGACACCAGACAGGGAACATATTGGTGCATTGATCTTGTAGGCATGGGGCTCAATGAGGGTGAGAGAGTGTTGCGCATTGACTCCATTGACATTTGCTGTGGGACTGATGCCTACCTTCTCCTGCGGTATTATCCTGACAAGACGTCAACAGCATGCTCCCTCCTATGCCATGAGATTGTGGGATCCAGATGTGGATCAATTTGCCACTGCCACTCCGTGATCGACGAGGCTGCACGCGCCAGGCAACTCGCGCCGCTGCATTGCGGCAGGGGTGGGTGTGCGCAATTCCTGCCCATTCCTCTCGGAGGTACTGCGCATAGCAGTGATGAAGCATTTGCGGTTCGGCTGGAAAGTTGGCGGAGGCTGTGGAGGTGATCATGAGCCTTTGCCGTGGCGTGAGCTCGTGATGCAGCAATGCAGCAATGCAGCAATCAGGTATGCTGCCCCAGGGCCAGGGAAGTGTAGATAGCGATGATCGCATACCGTACCCCGACACCCACGGAGGCACTCTGTATTTTGCTGTATGTACGCAGATCGAAGTGTCGCCTCCGCTGGAGCCCTGCAGCCGTGCTCGCCAACGCTGCCCCTGGAGGCTGGTGGACAGTGGAGGATACCGAGCTGGCCGAGCTCAGGAAGTACACAATACGGTACATGCCTAGGTAGGTGTGTATCCATATGTACATAGTCGAGGTACTAGCGCAACACATCCTCGTCCGAGGGTCCTCCGTGCGCCAAAAGCGTCTCCAAGTCCGTCGTCTATGCTGCGACTGCACGCCGACCAGGGAGGATTGATTGTCTTGCTGGAGAACTCTATAGTCAGGCTCTCCAGAGAACTGTCCATATCTACCTGACCTGACCTCTGCCCTCTGAACCCCTTCATCACGGACCCGGTACCGCGAAAAGCGAATCTCACTGGTGCTCTCCCGCCGTTTCAGAGACGCACTCGAAACACCGTCGCAAACGAGACTCACTGGCGGACGAAAGAGACAGCCCCACTGAACCAACCAGTAACCAGCAACCAGCAACCAGCAAGCAAAGCAAAGCAACATCATCACGCACCACACTACACTACCACCTCCTCCTCCTCCACCTCCATCTCCGCCTCCACCTCCCGCCAGCGCTACCCCCTCCGCCGCCAGCACGCCTGCTGTCCGCCGCCGCACCCACTCACCGCGCGCATGCGGTGCACACCCGCCCATTGTGCCTGAAACATCTCAGTCTCCTCGATTGGGGCGGGAAATTGGTCAGCACACGCGAGGCGAGAGCCCCGACGGTAGGGCTCTATGGTCTCTGGGCGCATTCCAGCACCCTCTTTGTTCAACTCGACTGCGAAATTGCGGCCTTCGGACGACAGCAGCGAGCACTCCACGTGTACCATGGCCGTATCGATGCTCAATACTCCTTCGCGCGCCTCGACGTCGTCCCAGAGCTCGTCCTTCGCACAGGTCACACGCCAGAACACAATGAGCTCGCAGGAGGGCTCGCGCAGTATGCGCGCATCGAAGCGCTACTCGGTGACTGCGCTGTACTTGTCGATGAACGGTCAAAGGGATCTCGAAATAGAAGATGATCTGGCAAGAGGTATGGATACGCAGTAGTGACCGGATCCTCCGTGGTCATGAGGTATACATGTACTGATAACCCTGGCAAACAGCTCAGAAAGCACTCCGGGAGCTGAAGGGCAAGATATCGTCACAGTCCAAGAAGAACTTCGTGCTTGAAAAGGACGTGCGCTATCTGGACTCCCGCATCGCATTGCTCGTGCAAAACCGCATGGCATTGGAAGAGGTGCGCCATACATATCATGTGATCCCAGTGGCCCATGGCTAACATGCGCATAGAAAGAAGAAGTTGCCAGCCATCTCGACGACTCTCTGGATTTGAGCGAGGGCTCCTTTCCCAACGACGAAAAGACGCAGAAGTACGGCAATCTGCTTTTCCTGCTTCAAAGTGAACCTCGACATATTGCACACTTGTGCCGGCTGGTCACGATGGCCGAGATTGACCAGCTGCTTCAAACTGTCATGTTTACAATATACGGAAATCAGTACGAAAGCCGAGAAGAGCACTTGCTACTAACTATGTTCCAGGTGAGTGGGCGCGCCATGCAATCTCTCCATTGCGTCTTGCAACACTGACAAGCCGTAGTCTGTTCTGACGTTCCAATTCGATCATACGCCTGACTACTCGTCGCTATTACGAGCGAATACTCCGGTATCACGAATGATGACCACATACACGCGAAGAGGACCCGGACAGAGCTATCTCAAGACGGTGCTTGCGGAGCGAATCAACTCGTTGATTGAGATCAAAGATCTGGACCTTGAAATCAACCCGTTAAAGGTATATGAGAGCATGATTGGCAAGATTGAAGCGGATGGAGGAAACTTGCCGAGTGACCTGCCAAAGGGTGTGACGGCAGAACAGGCCGCGGCGAACGAGAACGTGCAGAGGATCATTGCCCCTCGCATCGAAATGCTCATCGAGATTGCTAACAGCTTTCTGAACACGATCATCGACGGCTTGGAAGAAACACCATACGGCATCAGGTGGATATGCAAGCAGATTCGCAGCTTGACCCGGCGAAAGTACCCGGATGCGTCGGAACAGACATTCTGTACACTGATCGGCGGATTCTTCTTTTTGCGGTTCATCAACCCTGCCATTGTCACACCGAGGTCATACATGCTCATTGAACGCACACCCGCCGAGAATCCCAAGCGAACTCTCACCTATGTCGCGAAGATGCTACAGAACCTGGCGAACAAGCCTAGCTATGCAAAGGAGCCGTACATGCAGAGATTGCAACCCTTCATTCAGCATAACAAGGAACGCATCAACAAGTTCATGATTGATCTTTGCGAGGTGCAGGACTTTTACGAAACACTCGAGATGGACAACTACGTTGCGCTTTCCAAGAAGGATCTTGAGCTGTCAATCACGCTTAATGAGGTATATGCGATGCATGCTTTGCTTGAGAAGCACCAAACAGAGCTGGCCAAGGAGGAGACGCATCACCTCAACCAACTGCTTGCCGAGATTGGGCCCGCGCCCGCGCAGCTACCAAGGAAGGACAACCGTGCGATCAACCTCCCGCTGTATAGCAAATGGGAGACATCCCTAGACGACTTCACCGCTGCACTCGACATCACTCAAGAAGAAGTCTACTTCATGGAGGCAAAGGCGACATTTGTACTCATCCTTCGCTCACTGCCTGCTAATTCGGTCGTCATGCGACGACCACTACGACTTGACCGAGTTGCCGAAGCAGCAGCAACAACGAAAAACGATTCCGTCATGGTGCGCAAAGGCATCCGAGCAATGGAACTTCTCAATCAGTTACAAGAACTCCACATTGTCGATAAGGACGACAGTTACGCCTTACTTCGAGACGAGATTGAGCAAGAGCTGATCCATCTGGGGTCATTGAAGGAGAAGGTGGAGATTGAGACGCAAAAGCTCGGCGAAGTGTTCCGAACGATTCGCGATCACAATGCATATCTTGTCAGCCAACTGGAAACGTACAAGAGCTACCTGCACAATGTTCGTGGCCAATCCGAGGGCACGTCTAAACGAGGACAATCGACCAAGGTGCTCGGGCCGTATAAGTTCTCGCATCAAGAGCTCGAGAAGCAGGGTGTCATCCAGAAGAGCAATGTACCGGAGAACCGAAGAGCCAACATCTTCTTCAACATCACCAGTCCCAGTCCGGGCACGTTTGTGATCAGCTTACACTACAAGGGACGCAATCGTGGTCTCCTCGAGCTGGACCTGAAGCTGGACGATTTATTGGAGATGCAGAAAGAGCAACAAGAAGACCTCGATCTCGAATATGTCCAATTCAACGTGACGAAAGTGCTGCAGCTTCTTAACAGACGGTTTGCACGGAAGCGCACGTGAGGCAAGTCCGATCAACAGCGGAAACCCATGTTGGAGGATTGATGTGTACTTGTACGTGCCGGTACGATGCTACGACCAGACCCCCTTTGGTGCAAGGGCATCGCGCAGGACGGTGTGGGATGGATGAGCGACTTGTCTTCTTTTGTTTCTGTCTTTTTTTGGTTTCTGATTCTTTCTTTTCTAACTTCGTGCCTATTATTTGTGATACCCGTGGGAGAGGAGAGTCTGTACGATTATACGCCATAACTGGGGAAATGGGAAAGGAAAGGGGGAGGGGGGAGGGGGCAGGAAGGAAGAACATGACAAGCACAGATGCGGTAGATGTTGCAGGCGTCTGGGACAAAAGGCCTCTTCTTCGGATTGATGGAGAAGGGAGCAGCGTGGGCCCGGTTGCTACTATTGGGAACAATTTATTGATGCGAAGGGTTTGACGAGAAACAAAGCATACATACATACATGCCTTAAAAAGAGGACAGGTTCCCGAAGGGCATACGGTTAGAAACTGTCGAGGCAACGACGAGTGAGAGAGAGAGCGAGAGAGAGCTTTGATAAATCAAGCGAAAACCTAATAATGGAGAGATTATGAGCAAGATTACACATTAAGGCTGTTCCAGTCTCTCTTTTCCCTCGTTTTGAAGCCATCGCTGTGAAAAGAAGAAGAAGAGTAGCTTACTACAGAAGAACAGCAGTAGAGCAAGACACAGAGCACAAGAGATCGGGGAGTACAAGGTAGTGTACAACAGGGAACTACATCCTCTCCGTCGACGATCTTGGCCGATCTTGAGGACTCTACCTACAGTACCTCCTAATACATCACGGATCTCCGAAGAAGAATGAGTAAGACGCGGACGGAAGATTGTATACCTGTCTAAGGTACCTGCCGTTGTTTTCATCAGGAGATCTTGTCCTAGGTATCAGGTTGTCTTTGGCTCACCAGAATGATGGCGAAGGAATTTCACGCCAACAGAACCCCGAACATTGTTTGCGAGCCGCAGTTGCATCGAGGACAATCGTATATACCTACCAGGTATAGTAAAAGGTACATACCTGTATATATGTATATGTACCGGTGGAGTTCCGTGATGATGATGATGATGACGATGATGACAACGACGACGACGACGACGACGACAGACGATCCCCCACACTACCGAGCATCACTGACAAGACTGACTGACCCCCATGCTTACACGTACCTTAATTCTTGTGGTTGTGATGGGGTCACACTGGCATGCATGCATGCATGAAGAAGGTTTATATATATTAAGGTACCTCCTTTGTTCCTTTGCTTATCGTCGTTATCGGGTCATATGCGTTACGCATAGCGGCTCTAGAGGGGATGTCGCTTGGCTACCAGGTACCTTACCAACCTACCTCCGTAGGTCATGTAGCTACCGTTCGTGACTCCGACTGTAGGTAGCCTGTTGTGTAGAAGGAGCGGTTTCTTCTTCCTCCTCTTCTTCTTCTTCTTCATCTTCATCTTCATCTTGCACGCATACACGCACACGCTACCTACGCTACCTACCTACAGCTATCATACTATACCATACCTACTACCTAAGAAACAACCTTCAAGACAATTCACATAGCGTCATCACTACTTTCTCTCTTCTGCTACCACAGAATCTACCAAGACTAGCCACGCACTCCCTCACTCAATCCCTCCCTCACTCAATCACCATGTCCTCCTCCATGCCCATCCCCAAGCGGAAGCAACCTCTTCCTACCCTTTCCGGCTCGAGCTCGAGCAGCTCAAGCTCCTACGGAAGCTCCTCATCCATGAGTCCTCCCCGAACGCCCTCGTCGTCGACCACGCCGTGGAAAGGCAAGAGCAAAGTGCCCATCGCTTCTTCTTCGTTTTCAGCCTCCTCTTCTTCTTCAGCCTCTTCTTCAGCTACTCCTGCTACCGCCGCCTTCACATCCTCACCGCCCATCTCCCCGCGCCGACCCAGCCTCATGGGCAGTTCCCTGAGCAAAAGCGAGTACACCGTCATCAACCTCAGCCACCACGAAGACGGCCCACCACGCCTAGTCACGTGCGTCAAGAGTAGTCAAGGATTTGATTGGAATCAAGGTTAGTAGCAACAGCACGCAAGCAAGCAAGCAAGCAAAGCAATAGTGATCATCGTAACTATGTACTCCCGGACAAGAACGATCTTTATGGTTGAATGGGAACAGGAGACTGATGGGGATGCACTATCCTCTGTGAAATTTCTAGAACTGTTCCTGCCTTCGTACACGAACGAGTATGGCGAGTCTTCGGATTTGGAGCATCGCCCGGATCCGGTCGAGGAGATTGTGTTGACGGATGAGGAGGCTGCTGCTATTTTGCCCGTTTGAGGAGGAGGAGGAGGATGATGGAAGAAGCTTGGAAGGAGAAGAACAAGAAGAACAGGAAGAGGAGAAGGAGGTGCGATGATGATGATGATGATAAAGAACAACAACTACGACGACGATCTGATATCTTGTGCATGGCGAGAGGCGATTTGAAGCAGGGAGAATCTTTCACGTTTCTGGACTGGGAAACACACATTGGATGGGCGTGGATGGGAACATGGGATGGAATTGGGCGATATTCATTTTCAGGGCGATGGAGTATATAAGAAGGCACGACTTGCATTTGTCTATGACAATAGCTTAGTATGGAACGGCCAAGGTACTGTTAACACCTGTGTGTTGGGGAACTAGGTAGGCACTCTTGACATCATAATCACCTGCAATGAAGAATGGGAGAAAAGAAACAATATTGGCGTATTGGGGATAGGGACAGATCTGGTGCTATACTCAGGTATATAAGGTACATTACTTACTCAACCAGAAGGGCACGATATGATGTCTATCTATGTAATACTTGGACTGCTCGTTTTCGATTTCGCTAACGTATCTCAACAACTGTAAGACAAAACTATATCCTCCATTGCCTTAAGTATACTACCAAGTACGCATACTATTATACTTACCTACAGCTTCCATAGCCTCTTTATACTACCAAAATCCGCCGCTAGCTTTCTACGTACCTTCTCTTCCCCTTAGAATCCCTCCCTCTCCCTCTCCCTCTCTCTCTCTCTCTCTCTCTCTCTCTCTCTCTCTCTCTCTCTC